GGGCTACCTTGCCGTCGATGATACACACCGACTGTAGGGAAAACGACTGGTTGAGCCGTGCCGCATCAAGGCTCTGACCGCTGAATCCCATGGGATCAAACAGGCCTGGAGCTTGGTGGTAACAAACTGGCGGGTGGCTTCATCAGTCAACTCCAAGATAGCCTTGGAGACGGACTTGATCTCGTGGGCCTTGCCACGAACGAGAAGGTCAGCAGACATGGCTGGGGAGGTGCTGGAAGGAGTGTTGAAGTGTCGTTGGTGGGACAATTCAATGACTCAATGAACTGTCGGCAACAATGCTTTTGGGAGCGCAACAACAGTCAGGAACTGGATAAAGCAGGACCAACAGCAAAAGCACCAGGCAAACAGAACTGGGGCTGGAGCTGGACAAAGCAAAGGACTCACAACAACAGGACAGCAACTGGAAGGGAAGCAACAACTGGGAGGCAGGCAACTGGAAGGCAACAAGAGGCAGGATGCAGTGGTCCAAATCAGGGAAGGCTTGGTTGGAAGCTTTCAGATTGGGATTATGACCTCATAGTGCTGCACTGCATAGCCTGGAATGGGAGGAACCAGGGCCACCACCACAGTGGATCAGACTGGTACTGTTGCTGTAGGATTGCACAGGGCTTGAACCCAATCCAAGGATCCAAAGGGCTACCAGCCAGGTAGCTTTGAACTGGGGATCCATGCAATGAGTCAACCTCAATCTCTGACACGGTGCCTGGTCAGGTACCATGCTGTCAGGATATCAATGCAAGGGTGTGGTGTGGCTTGGTAGTGTGTGGTGTAGCACTGAACAGTCAGTGGTAGTGTGTGGGGTAGCACTGAACAGTCAGTGGCGGTGACCAGACAAAAGTCTCGCGGCGCACCAAGTCATCGGTGGTTGGAAGACTTAAGGGGCGGGGGCAGAGACTTAGAGGGCAGAGTCAGAGACTTAGAGGCCCCCATGTTCTTTTCAAGCATCGTCTTCGCGCGAAGGACTTTTCATGCATCGACTTAAAATTTTCGAAAGCACGGATGAAAACACGTCACCAAATCCGGTCACGACTGACGTCAGTTCTGGATTTTTAAAAGCGGGGATGACGACCCAGTCACCAGTTTGAAGACATAAGGGACACCAATCTTGCCAGGAGTGCAAGACTTAGGGGCCGATCCGTCAAAGACTTAGGGGCCGATCTGTTGTTGTTGGTGTTGAAATCGCGAAAAGCGAAATCAGCGAAAACCATTGACCATGGCCCTAGAGTCGGGACGCACGGCAACAACAGCGGCAGCACCAGGAACTCCAAGGCCAGTTGGCCGAGGAGGCGAGACGAAGCACCAGTTGGTGTCGTGGAGGTTTGGTGGGAGCACCAGTCGGTGACTCGCCGTTTGTGGCTAGCGAATCACCAGGCGGTGAACGCATCATAGCAGGGTGGCTAGCAGAAGCACCAGGTGGTGATCGCATCAAGGCCATCGTGTGGTAACAGCACACGAAAAAAATTCGTCTATCGAGTGGAAAAAGCACTCGAAAAAGACCGATCATCGATCGGTCTTTTTTCAACCAATAACAAGGCTGCTGCGACAGGGCCAACGGCTGATAGTAGCAGCAGTAGCCGTAGCGGTAACAGTAGTAGCCGTAGCTAGTAGTTGTCGTCATCGCGGTAGCGTTCATTCGAAAAGAAAAGAAAAGAAAAGAAAAGGACGCCATTGTCCTCTTCGATTGGTGGCTACATGCAATGTGTGGCTTGGATTGGCTCCTACCGACTGATCATCCCCTTGAAAACCCTAACTCTATCTACGGTGACGTACCAGTCCAGGCAGGAGCAAGTGTGCTTCCACATTGCTCTGCTTAGAGTCATGGCGTTAGTTGACCAGTCAACATCGATACAAGCTAGCTTTTTATCACAGAACAGCAGTGAAGCAGCTGGTACGAAAGCATGAAATAACTTTTTATAGTAAAATAAACATAGTAAAATTCGAAATAGAATTCTAATTCAAAACAAAATAGTAAAATGCGAAATATCTTTCCCATTCTTCCTCCAACGAGCCACAAAGTTGGTCTGATACAGTAGTGTGGAAAGAACTGAAGGATAGCTACAGGATGAACTAAACCAATATGGCGCCTACACAACCAGTCTGACTATCTCAGTATCTTTCACATTATCATATAGCTACTAACTTGCAGCTATGGTCGCATACCCTGGTCTCTTCTTGAAGGACAACTGCCCATCGGGTAGCTGCCCTGAGCACCATTTCCTTTCAACTCCCAGCACTGACTGGGAGGGCAGTACCAGCTTCTCTGTCAACTAAGGAGAGGAGCCAAAGTTAGTATCACAACTCTCTTGTTATTGCATTTGAATATCGTTGAAGGGCGACTGCACCGCCAATAAGTCAAGTCAAGTCAAGTAATCACAGTTGGTGGATGCAAGGCGCGGTTTCTTCCGGCTTATACACGCATCGATGACGCCAACAGAAATAATGACAACCAGCAGCGACGTTTTCTCCCTGGCAGCGAAAGTTCCCCCCTTCATTTTCAAGAAGCTAGGTTCCCCTTTATCGCTATTCCACTCAAGGACACTGACCGAGTCAGCGTCGTGATTCGAAAAACACTCTGATTTTACTGTTGCCAAAGTAGTCTGTTGAAATGCCCCTTGTTGGATATGAGATACAAATACCAAGGCACACTGGATGCCGCCCCGGATGCCCTGAAATACTTTCTTCAGGACAGTAGAATCGACACCATTTGAGAGATTCTTGCACTCAATGCTAATGAAGGGCTCTCCGGACCCCGTGTCTTCGCAATGCAAGTAAGATATAAAGCCATCTGTCATAGCACTGTCCTCAGGTCTCTCGAGATAACCCAGGTTTGCACCGCAAACTTGGCCCAGTTCCTTTGGTAATCCAGGCTCGGAGCCTCCCAATGCTGGAACAGTGGGCCATTCGAAAACCAGGTCATTGAACACCTGGGGGGCAGGTGGAAGTCCTTGCAGATATTGATCCAACATCAAAGTGCGCACTAGAGGAATGAAGTTCTTCAGATGCACACCGGAAAGGTATTTGTTGTGGTCACCGGGAGTAGTTTTCATGGATGCCAATGTCAGAGAGGCATACACAAGTACTTCCAATAAATTCCCATCTGCCTTCATTGCCCTTGGGTTATCAGTGGAAGGATTGGATGTAAAATCATCGCTGCATCTTTCAAATGCAGCACGTACCGTTGGAGCTCTCCCTGATTTATCAGTAAGTGGGAATAAGAGTTGATCCTTCCTCCTTTCTCCTGGTAGCATACTTTCGTCCCACGTCACTAGAGCGAGATACAACAGAGGCTCTTGTGCAGCGGAAACAGGCGCAACGAGTAGATTTTTGCCAAAAACCTCCGCCTCAGCGCAGTTGTAACGCCTAATTCCGTCTTCTCTGCCTTCTCTGTCCTGCAGCAAACATCCGAAATGATGACCGACTAGATTGTGGGATGATGTAAAGCTTTCACCATTGATGTCGACATCAGCGGAAAACAGCTGGACCAATTGAAGTGATGGGCTTGTTGTCCAAGCCTTTAGTTTCTTTTTTGCAGCGTTCTTTGAAGCCCTTGGATAATCTCTGGCAGGGTCCACTTCTCCGCCAATTTTTGAATAGCATATTGAAGTACAAGAGGCCGCTCCGTTAACAGGGGGGTGCGAAGGAAATGGTTCGAATTTTGGTAGAGTCGAAACAACCCAAGTCCAAACATCTAAGGACACTCGAGACGTCTTTTCGGCATAGTCCTGCGGCCCTGTGTGTGTGCTCATTAATATGGGAGCAATCCCAAGGTAGCGGAATACATCCCTCAAGCAAAGGACAGTTGTGTATTCGTCGTCTCCCTTCGGCGGCACTTCATCAAGAAAAACAAGGTACTTGTTTGGCTTGATAGCTTCTTTCAGCGCTTTCAGTGTCATGCGCGACCCAAGAGTCGGTATAGTCGGCACGAACGGCTCACCAGTGAGCAGGTGATAGAGAACGCGAACGAAAAGGAAGCTTCCGTCGTCGCTATTGGAGGCCCACGAAGAGATTTTATTTGCCGTCACTTGATGGTGGCTGCCGTAGAATTTTAAGAAAATCGGGTCCCGACAGGAGGTGAGGGCGATAGAATCTTTGACTATCTGCCGTCCCCATATTCAAATAAATCGTTGTGCTTCCTTGTACGTAAGACCTGCAGTAGCCGCCAACTGCGTTTTCCCAGTTCCAGATGAGGCAAGGAGGCAAATGAAGGTATTTGGATCGTTGCCGACTGGTGTCTGCTGATCTGTCAGAAAATCCAAGCGAGACTTCGCGTTATCCTTACTCTGCTCTGCAGCCTGCACGTAGTCGTCCAAATGTTCCTGTTGCAGTAGGGATCTCGGGAGTCGAGCTGTTTCGCAAAAGCCTTCGCTGTGAAGTCTGTAGAGATCGTTGAAATCTTGAAGGGCATCAAAAGCATTGGATGCCAACTCTTCCAGCCGAGTTTCGTTTTGTGAATCTTTGGGTTTCACCACCCCCTGGAGCTTTGTAGACAACCTATTCTCTGTAATTTCATCGGCTTTATTTTAAAGCCTATCCAGCGCTGCATGAACCTGCCTGATCTGTTCTTCCCCAGCTCCAATGAGCCTCAGCTCTGTTGCAATCCAAGCTTTGGCAGCGCCATGGCGGTCGGAAGGAAGGATGTTGCCGGTGCTCATGACTTCGCGAAGTAGCTAGACAACGAAAGAAGCTGTGATTTAGTGATACGACGGTACTAGCTAGTATGTGATGGTGCTTGTTCCGACTACTAGCTAGTAGACTGACGTGGATTTTGTGGGGTTTGCGCCAAAACCTGCCCTCCCGTGCACGCGCCAGTACGAGCTGTGTTCAATTCAGGGCTCCTGACTTTACTTCGTGTTTCTTTAAGTGTAAATGGCCGGCACGCTCTCTGCTCGAGGCGTTCCAGTCCGTATACTTTACTATTAATAGTAAGGTTTTTAAAGGTTTAAGGTAGTCGAGTACTCCAAAACGTGCAAAAAGTGCCTACCGGTACGACGTATGCATAAATCCATGCTTTCGAAGCTGTTTTTAGCTGTACTGTACTACTTTGTACTCCGGTATCTATCTAGCAGTATTAATTAAAATAGTGTGCCACATCTGAAGAACAGTACAGTACTTAAGTACAGTACTGGTAAGCTGACCGGTAAGCTCGCAAGGCATCGAAGGAATCGAATCGAATCGAATCGAATCGAATCTTGAATCTTGTCCGGACACAAGTACTAGCTAGTACTCCTTTTCTGTCCGGAACAAAGTGTACCGGGCCCTCCCACTCTCTTAACCGTACACAAAAGAGACAGTCGCAATGTCGCCATGTCCCACACCTTACACTTTCAGCAGCTCTTTTAGCGCTCCTTGTCACTTCTGAAGTTTCAGTGACGAGTCGAGTCGAGTCGAAGAGTGAAGCCACACCCAATTTGTCCAGCGCCGAAGGGACGAATAGTCCAGAGGTGGCCACACCAAGATCCATGGGCTACTACGGTACCGTCTGCTGAATGTGCATGTACGTTTATTTGAAGTGGGAAGCTAGAAGGCGCACCAATGCCAGAAGAATCATGATTTAGATATTATAGAGAGCTTATGAATCAATGTTACATGTAGTATTGCCATTAGTTGCTTGGATTATTTATCAGGGAAGGATCATTGCTTGTACAGCACCGTAGCTGAGTTAGAAAACAGCAAAGAAATCTGGCTCGTCATCGCTGAGGCAGCAGGAAGATGATGCTCCGCTGACACTGGAAGATGTGGATCGTCTCTTGGGGGCACGGCTGCAGGTGGCGAAGAAGCTACGGCGGGCACTAACGGTATCGTCGCATCCAGTGTCTTGTTCCGGGGAGGGTTCCTCCTCCTCGCGGCTCTTGCGCTTCTTGCTGTCGGCCGCAATAGGAGGAGCAGGAGCAGGCGTAAAAGGAATTGGGGAGATTGACCTGGTATCTTGCTGGATCTGGATCTTTTTGAGGTTCTGGAGTAACTCGACGTTGGCTTTGTTGAAGATCTCCTGGATTTCAGCATCCGACTTGAATATGCTTCCTTCCGCCGTGAGCTGTCGGATCCGAGCCATCAGGGCCGTGCCGTTGGCTTGGACCACCATGGTATCCACGTGGTTGGCCAGGTCTGCTTCTTCTTCTTGGCGACGGCGTTTCTTGGCTTTGGAGCTGGACTTGTACTTGGCACTAAGCAGGTCCCTGAGGCGCTGTCCCACCTTCTCTCGGGCCAAGTAGTCACCGGCTTCGTACCATTGTCCCTTGACCTGCTTGACAAAACCGCCGCCATTTGGGTTGTCTTTACGGACCGACTCAATAATCTCAGAGACAATCAGAGACTTTTCGAATTTGCTTCCGGCAGTAGAGTACTTTTGGAGGTATTCATCAACGATCTTGAGGAAGCGGAGATTGCCAGGGTGCTTCTTGACTGTCTTGCCTCGAGCACAGATGCAGTCATATGGGCCGGGCACAAACTTGGGATCCAATGATTTCATGCCGTTGTCAGCAGTGGCACAGGCCTTACCAGTTTGACCCATCTTGTTGATGACAGTCATGGGGATGTGTTGATCAATCATTGTAATCATCTTTATCGATGTATATGTGAGGGTACAGTAGCCTATGATAGACGGAGATGCGGAGCGAGGTGGCTAGCTAGCTAGTTGCTCTTGCTTTTGCTTTTCTCGTTTTCCAATTGTGGGCAGTCGATGAAGGTGGGAAAAAAAGGGATGGTGGTGGTTATCATCAGCGGCTCAAAAGGTCTGGACAAACTTGAGTTTGAAGAACCTCCACCTCGTTACTGGTCTCGGCTGTGGTCACAGGTCACAGCAATTTCTATTGGCTCATCTTGGACAGCTCCTTTCTGCCTCGCTTGATCAGACTTGATCACTTGATCGTGGGTAAAAAAATCAAAAGATTTACAATATGTGTACTAAACAGCCCATACTTATTGTCCAGCACCCTTCAACTGCTATTTTTTAGCTCTTTCCTTGAAAACAAAGACTGCATGGCTGACATTCTCAAGAAACAGCACCACCTTCATTCAACAAGAAATCCTACAGCAAAATCCTACTTTCAGAGTACTGAAAGTTGATGCTGGTGAAATTAGCAATAATTATTCTCAGAAAGCAGTGGGCAAAAGACTGCTTCCAAATCCATCCATCAGCCCACCCAGTTTGGCTGACGATCTACCTGTAGTCATTAAATTTTGTTGTAGGAAATGGCTACAGTGCATGGTACCTATGGAGTATGGAGTACGTACACGACATTGTGAACATGTACTCAGTACTCAGAGTACCACGTAGTACTGTACAGTATCATAGCGGAAATCAGCTGGTGCTCCATGATTAACAACCAGTACACCAGTACCCGGGTAACTACGCTACGTAAGCTGCTACGTAGTACCGCACTGTACCTTACTGTACCGGTACGGTACGAAGAGGGGAGGTCGTCAAAGATTTAATTGTCTGGAGCCGTGTCTGGTGAAATGGCAACCGGCAACTGGTTGCGGTAGCAGTGAAACGGCCAACGAGTCACGTCAACGGCCAAGCGTGCTCAGAGTATTACCCAAGCAAAAATGTACAATGTAGAAATTGCAAAGATTTCCCAAGCCGCCTTGGACTTTGGACTCTGCACCAAAAGAACCGGTGGCTTCGAAGTTTTACGTGATTCAAGGAGCGCTTGAGAGTGGGAGAAACAGAGTTCAGGACGCAGAGGGGAAGGTGCGGGAGTTGCCGGTCCTCGCGGCAACGGTACAGTGGTGCCGTCCATCAGATTCTATTGATCCTCGAAAGCCAACAACTTTGAAACAGGTGCCAAGAAAGCTCCAATGCAGTCTTTGTCTTCGAAGCGGTCGTGGTTCTTATCTGCTGCGCACTCGTCGGAAGTTGTTGTGTGGCTTACAGCAGTACTGTACGAGTGGAGGGCTAGCTGGGTTGGCAAACTATTGGCTTAGTGAGGAGTTGGAGATATTGCTGTGGTTGGATATTGGCAAACCATCCAGTGGGTACCGGTACCAGTAAAAAAGGTTTGGTGCGAGTTCAGGTAGTGGTGTTGTGCACCACCACACCGATACCGCAAGGAAGCTGTGCAATGTTGCACTTCGTCTCCTCCGTGGTGCTTTCGGGTGGGCAGAGCTGCTGCTAGCTGGGCTTCTTCGACTCTCTCAGTACCGGTAACTACAAGAGAGCATCGGGATCAAATGGATGGACCACGAGAGCACATTTCATGAACCTGCGAGAATAAGTGCACACAAACATTTCCGATCCATGCAGGCTTGTCAAGACAGATGCACGAACGCCAGTCACCACCAGTAAAAAGATATCGGGGGGGGGGGGGGGTTCACATCCTACGGTTCATCTGCTACGACACGGGATGAGAAAGGAAGACACGAAGGGAAAAATATACTTCAGACTGGTACTTTGCTATTGTACCGTACAAGTAAAAGGTGGCCTTTTCGGAGTCGATGCTTCCGAGGTGATCTCATGTTGACTCTTCGCCGAGTTTAGAACAGTTGACTTTCGGTCGTAAAAGCAGTTCGATATTAGCAGTTGGCAGGCGTCGACAGTCGACCACAGCCCACCTCGTTGCTTCCAATTGTTTACTGCACGATACCGCTGGGAGCCATTCTTCTCTCTTCGTATGTGCCGGTCTTGCATCACTGCCCATCAATGAGTACAAACGAGGTGAACCGGACGTACGAATAGGCAGAGGCATCCTTGATCGTCATTTCGATTTTGTACTGGCCATTGGCGTTGGGGAACCAGATATGCCCGCCAATATTCTTCAATGCAAAACAGGTATGCATGTCAGAGGCTTCGGTGACCTTCTCTCCGTTGATCTTGATCTCCAACTGGCCCATGCTCTCTAACTCCGCGCCCACCAGCTGGTGCTTTTTCTTCCTCTCGTCAACCTTCCACGTCCACCCGAAGTAGTTATGAAAATCGTACTTGGCGCAGGTCCCCCAGTCGCACTGAAGCATCCACCCGTTCATTGTGCCAGTCGCACCGGTCCAAAAGGGTGAGACTCTGGAGACAAAGGATTATGCATTTGGCCTGGGCAGAAAAGACCTCAGGCTGGAACTTACTCTTGTGAGACAGGCCACTACCATCTTGCCCTTCTTGGGATTGTATTCTGTGTAATATGCCTTCTCTTTCTCATTCGGGATTGTTATGGTTCTCTTCCCCTGTAAGGAGCTCACGAAGAAATAGTCTTTGTAATCAATGTGGACAATTTCATCCTCGTCCTCATCCCCACCCTTACACCCCCATCGATCCACATCGTTCTTCACCATGAGCATCTGGTTGGCTCGGCCCGGCCTTGGATCGACGAAAGCCTTTGGATTTTCGTTGGGTTTTTGAGGGGTTGACGTCTCCACACTCTGGATCAGTTCAGAAGACACACCTTGCTCAAAGGTGTCTGGGTCGACGGGGTTGCCACTGGATGTGGCGTTTTCAGTCACCAAGCCTTTGAGGCGCATCTCGGATGGAAGGACTGCGGTGTGGCAGAATCCTGCCTCCTTGAGGAAGGAGTCAACGCTGACATCATCCAAGTGCTCGTCTCGACCCTCTTTCCACCATTTTTGTAAGTGTGGGATGAAGGAATCGGGGACCGGAGCATCAAAGATGGCGTTGTACTCCTTCTCTTCCTCTCGGTTCAGCTTTTGTAGCTCTTGAGTTATCCTCTCTTTTTTCATGATCATGCTTTCTTGGCTATTCGCTGGGGATTGTTTCATCACCCCTTCGATGGCTTCTTCCCATAAGTCCAACACTGTTGTGACAATCAAGTTACCAATCAATGCATGATACTTCCAACCTGGGTGCCAATATATTTCAAGAATAAGCGAGTGAGGGGAATATAATGTCAGTCAAGTCAATCCAGATAAATCTGCCAACCAGTGCCATTTGATCGAGTTTACATAGCTCGCACCTGGGTGCCAACTGACCCGCCCTCGTCTATCAGGGCACACAGTCTCGTTCCATTTGTCATCCTTGCAGCCAGGATCACCAGATTCCAATCTCCCCTCGCACTTGAAAGTCCTGACAAGTCTCGGTATCTGTTGGATCTCTGCGTCGGAGAGCCCCATCATTTCGGGAACGGCGGGCTTGACAACCTCATTAAAGTATTCATCATCGTATGCCAGAGTGGTCATGCCCAAGGCTTGCATCCCTTGCAACACCAAGTTGCGCTCACTGTTTTGGTTAAAGGCAAACATGGATGGGCGACGGGGGATGTTCCCGGGCTGTGAAACGCTGTCCGTAATCTGGGAAATCTTGGCTGCTCGGTACGAAAACAGAATGATTTTCCAGAGCGAGTTGCTGGAGTCGGTCAAAGCAAAGTCCCAGCTGCGAACGAACAAAGCGAAATAGGCGGCATGAGTGCGGTTGCATCCTGCAGAATACGGACTCGTCGACAAGCACGATAAAGTACTAGAAAGTGCATTGAACTCACAAAAACGAATCGACATCTCTCCCATAGACCGAGTTCATGCAGAGCGCCAGCTCGTCCCCGCTCTGTAGTAGGGGCATCGAATCCAAGGTTCAGCAAGTGGAGGAGAGTGTGAGGCATGATTCTTCTGTACAATCGATGGCAACATTTCCGAATGCTTCCACTGGAGAACTTACGTCAAACCCTCCCATGGAATATGCTCGAGCACTGAAATCCAGGCCAATGTGTTGCAAGATAGGCTTCAAAGTTCGATCCAAAATTGCCGTGTAGCTCTCGCGGTACAGATTTCCATGTGCTGCCGAAGAACTTTGTCGACATTTAAAGTCGTTACATCATCACAAGAGCGGAGAGGTTAGGAACCCATGGTCACTGTTTTCAAAGATTCAAGAGGTAAAACGTCCAATGACAAATTATAATTCAACCCGATGGTTGCTTGTCGTACCTGTGTCCTGCCGTTACCCAATTGAATTTGGTGTATGTTCCTTCTGCCAGGGTCTCCTCATTATTATTATTGTTGGCAAGGTTTCTTCTTTTTCTTGTTCGTAGCCTGGAAGCATCTTTCCCAGTGATACGCTCTTCGATAACACCCAATTGAATCTGCAAAATTTTCATTTGATACTTTCGTACCATGCGATCCCACCCAGGAAAGTCTGTTTTGGGCGGTGCATTCTTGTCTTGCTGGTACTTGTTGAGTGGCAACGAATTGGGATCTTTGAACAGTCCCTTGTATCCAGCACTCGTGCGCTTGCCATTGGCATCATTGTAAAAGAACAAGTTTTTATAATGGTCTTCTCCGTAATCTTTTTTGAGCTGATTGTCCAGCCATTGCTGGCGTTTTTCCTTTAACCGCTGCAACATGTTGGAGGGTTCTAGGAGGTCCTGACCGTCCAGATTGCGTCCTTCTCCCAACTGACGACGGTCCATCATCACAGGTGAAGCATCATTGGTTTCGTCTTGTTGCTGTTTTTGTCGGGCCAAGTCCATGTCCTCAGTGATCTCGCTCTTTATCCAGGAAACACCAAATAACAACGCCGTGCATCCCAGCAAAGAGGAAAAGACCAACCCAACGGATTGCCGAGACGTCAAGCGACTTGGAAGCTTCATGGTGGCGAACAAATATGAGAAAACTTGGAGAAACACAACACAACTGCTGGCACTTCCAACTGAATTATAAAAACACAGAAGCAACCGTTGGTCTCAAAGGAATAGAAATCTTGGATACGATCTTGGGGGTGCCTCCAGGATGTGATTTTTTAATGCATAATCTGAGGCTTGCTTTATCGACTTCAGGCTGTCTGAATGGGCCTCCTGTGAAAATCACAAGAGGCAACAAAGAAATGAATAATGTCAACCGGAAGCCGAATGGATGACCAAAAGCACCCACAATGACACTTGATGACCTTAGTCACGTTGTCAATAAGTCTCTGCAGGGCGTGGAAACTGGCTGTTCGCTCGCGCACTTGCCCGTATCTTTGGGAGAAGATACGGTGTCAAAAACGTCAACTCCAAAACGGTGAACAAGCACAACAAGCCAGCTCATAGTGCTCCTCTTCAAAGCCAACATCCAACAGCCAACTGGGACCAACCATGGACGATCCAAACGCCAAACAGAGTCGCTCACAAGAAGAGAGCCAACCTGCCGTTGCCTTTCATGGCGGCTGTTCCTGGGACTACTCGGGCATGGATTTTGTCCAACGAAAGAAATTCGTCATTGCCGATGTTCTGGATGCCCCGTTTCCACCGTCGCCCAAAGTGGCACAAGCCCTTCATTCTGTTGGCGTGGAGTGTACGAGTCGAGAGTCCCCTCCTACCAATGCGGAACAGTTGTTGCAACTTCTGGCAACAACCCGCAATGTTCGAAAAGAGCATTTGTTGGTTTCGAGCGGTTCTTCCAGCATTCTCTTCTCCATTGTGCCACGGCTGCTCCCACCCAAAAACGCCCGTGTCTTGATGCTTCGTCCTACGTACTCGGAATATCCTCATTTGCTACAGCATGTGTGTGACTGTTCCGTGATGGATACCGTCGATGTGGACCCACACACTTTTCACGACGGCAAGCAAGTCTTGCAAGAAATTGCGCATCGAGTGTCAAAAACTGGAAACTACGACGGTGTCTTTTTGGTCAATCCCAACTCCCCCACTGGCACGGGATTTCGCTCGACGGATTTACAAGACTTGGCACACACCATGGCAGTGCAGTCGCCTCACACTATTCTATGGATTGACGAGTGCTATATGGATTACGCCAGCGTTTCCAATCCTGACCGATTCAGCACGTTGGAACCCTTGATTGGTTCGTCTTCCAGCAAATACCGAAACCTGTTTATTTGCAAGTCACTCTCCAAATGTCTGGCACTGAGTGGCCTTCGTGTGGCCTATTTGGCAGGACAACGGTGTGCAGAACTGCGCCGTTGGATTCCTCCATGGTCCGTCAGTTTGCCGGCTCAAATCGCTGCCATGGCTGCCTTGCAAGATCCACAGTATTACCACCAAAGCTATCAAAAAGTCCTGCGAGCTCGTGGGAAATTTGTAGAGGCGCTTCAAAGGAAGGGATTTCATGTGACGGACGGAGTGGCAAACTTTGTTTGTATACATGGCATAACCAATGCTGCACCCATTGTGGACCAGTGTCGAAAGCGGCATGGAGTCTTTCTACGAATGATTGATGCATCGACAATCCGCATTGCAGCCAGACTAGATGATAATGGCCAAGAAAAGATCTTGGAGGCGCTCTGTGCCGCCACGGGAGAGGCGACGAACAAACACGAAAAGCATCTCCAAACACCGCTGCTTGGTCAAATCTACCGCCAGAAAACACTGCACCCAACGCATTACTATTCATGGCACGTTCCACCCGAAACAGTTTTGGTGTTTGCCGCATTCACTTGCTTGGCAATGTCGTGTGTCCTGCAAACGGACAAGGCACGATATCTTTTTGCGGGGTTGGCGATTTCGCCAATGATCCTTGCTTTTCTCTTAATGATGACCCCAAGAAACAATGGAGCGGATACAACAAGCCTACCGCTGCTCCTCCACCAGCTCTTGGCAACAATGTCTTGGACGGCTACATTGTTTCTTGTAGATCTCAACGAATACCTATTCTTGGGATTTACGCTGGGCGTCTTTGCTTCCGAGCTTACCATCCTTCCCAGGGATGATATTCCCACGTGCCTGCATCATTTGTCGGCCGTGGGGTTGATCCTCGTTCACCTGTTTTATGCGTTGACCGATGATCGCATGCAGTTGACAGCCGTCAATTGGTTTTGTGCCGTGTCGTGTCCATCCTACACGTGCGTTCCCAAACTATGCCAACGATTCCGCCTGTTTGCAAAACCCACACAAGATGCGGTGTGGTGTGCGGCTCTGCTTTTGTGGGTCTTTGGACGCGTCTTGACATTGCACCATGTTTTGGGTTTTGGTTATTACCGTTTGCCAATCATGACGGCTCCCTGGTTGGAACACGAAACGCTGCTTTCACCCATCTACTATTCATATGTGGTGGCGACAGTGTTGCTCTTTGGACTCTACGCTGTCAACATCTATTGGTCCTACAAAAAGCTACACAGTGTCCAAAAGACCGCGGCCAAGTACCTGTAATAGATTGCTAAATGCTTTGGCTAGTCTCGCTAGCAGACTGTGTGATACCGACATGTTGCCGGCTAGCTAGCTACCGGTAGTTGTGGAGTTGGTCCAAGAGTTGTCCTTGCTACTAGATGCTTGGGGGGGGATAAACAAGGGAGTCGAGTCGAGTCCTCCGATTGGATTCCAAGCTTGCATTGCTAGAGAGCCAGAGACAGGGCAGGTTCTGACCTGACTCGTTCAGCCAAGGCGTCCCAGATTTTGAAATGGGCGAGTGAGTCTCGGCATTGTATCAGTTTCAGGAACATGCATTGCTACGTAGATTTGTTTTAGCTATATAGGCAAGGTTCCATCTCAGAGTATAGCTGCTCACATTTGTTGCTATCATTTTCAACATGTACACATTTACAATGACAGTGCATTTGGTCCCTTAAGGATCCGCATCGGGGTTCTCCATGGCGGCGACGATTGTTGTAGGTTCATCTACTGACGACTCTGGTGGGAAGCTTTCATCGTCATCTTGCAAGAGAATCCAATCAAACACTTCCAGCATTGCATCCCAGCTGCGCCAGTCAGCTAGCTCGTTGTAAGCCCGACCGCCCCATGCCGTGAAACCATGAAAGACGTCTGGAGAAGCATCGAGCAAGGAAGGGGATGAGAATCGGTTCGTGTCAGCCAAAATCTCAACAGGCAAAACAGATAGTTGAAACTCACTCGAGTAGCGGCTAATCTCCCAGGTTGCATTGGCACTATTCAAGGCCATTTCCAATTCTGTGTTGTTGCCGTGGGCATCATCTTCGCCTCCCGACTGAACCAACACGTACGGGAAGATATTATCCGTTTGAATGGGTGCGAGGCTGGTCAAACCACCGTGGAAGGGGACAACGGCCTTCACATCCCGTAGACCACTAAACGCATAGTTCACAGCTCCTGTGCCGCCAAAGCAATAACCAATCATAAAAATATTGTCTGCATCGACAAGTTCATGGTTCACCAACACATCCACGGCTGCCTGGATTCGAGACACAAAGAGGGTATAGTTCGATCGATAGATCGTTGTCTGCTGAACACGCGTATCAAAATCTTCCACTTGCTGAAAGTCTGATCCATAAATGTCGGCTGCCAAGGCAATGTACCCTTCTCCGGCCAACAGCGTGGCTCGGGCGGATTCATAGCCATCTTCCCCACTAACACCGTCCCAATCGGGAACAATGACAACGGCAGGAAGTGGATCAGATGGGCTAGCCCCGGGGGGAACGGCCAGCCATCCAGTGAGAGAAAAGCCATCGTCATCATATTCCACGGCGGTGGCATCGGTTTGGTTTGGTTGGGGTGTTCCGTAACTGATTTCGCCAAATCCCTCTGCCAAGAAGGTTGCCATTTCCCACCAGGAACGGTGGTCGGCCCGTTCGTTGTAGCGGTCGTCGTGCCACACGGTGAAGGCGTGTTCAATACCAGAGTACCGAGTGATTTGCCAGGTGGCGTTGGCATCGTTGAGTTGGCTCTCTAGGTATTCCACTTCAGTCCCTGTATCATCTTCTCCACCACTCAGAACAAGGACAGGATGCATAATGGGTGTGCTGACTGGAAAGTCTGTAAGACCTCCATGGAAAGATACGGCTCCAACGATTCCGGTGCCTCCAAGGAAGGAATGAGTCAATACTCCGGTGCCTCCAAAGCAATCTTACATCATGCAGAAAATGAATCGAAGCAAATTGAGTTGGCCAACCAAATAAAAGAGGCCCCAGCCAAGAGCCAGACATGCATCCAAGCTAACTTACATCCAATAATGGCAACTCTGGACGCGTCCACAAGAGGATGGGCCCTCATGATGTCAATTGCAGCTTGAATTCGTCCAGCAAACAGTGTAGTGTTGGACCGATAGATACCTGCTTGCGACCGAGCAATATCTCTTTCAAGAGGGTCGCCCTGAAACTCAGGTCCAAAGATATCGGCTGCGAATCCAATCCAGCCAAAATCCTCGGCAATCATGGTGGCTCTCACTTTTTCATAATCATCCACATTGGTAAAGTCGGGCTGGGTGGTTCGCCAAAAAACAGTATATCCAAGGTGAGAACAGCAGAATATAAAAGCAATGCGATGCCAAGCCAACGAACTGAACTCACAATGATCACAACAGCCGGTACAGGTCCGTCTGTGTTCGGGACACTGACATATCCCACCAGAGGAAAGTCGTCATCGTAGACATCAGAGTATTCGATCGCTGTCACATTGATCTCGACGTCGTCGTAGATTTCCTGGGCTGATGCCAAGCCCGAGATGATGCCAACGGCCAACACAAAAACGGCAAGCAACTTCATCGTCTCTCAATCTCAGAACTAATACTCAAGAACTAACTAACTAGCTAGCTAGATAGTCAGGAGAAAGAGATTGAAGGATCACTTTTCCCAAATAAATTGTGATGGAAATAGACTAATCGTGTGTAATCGGCTTCATTTTCCTCCCAAGTACTTGCATGCAGACAACGGCGATGTTTCCCGGAATGAATCTTTGGCGACACTTCTTTCGCGTGATTATTATGTGGAGCAACAACGTGGAAAAATGAGGGTGCGTCAGTCAACGTGGTACTCGTACCGGTAGTAAGTCTCCATCACTCGTTTTCTGAAAAGGAGATTGAAGCTCTTTCCAATTAGAGGCCTCACCTTTCCGTGCCACGTCACGAGGTTGTTGCTTCCCAGTTCCCAGCACCATCTTCGTTTCGCACTCGGCAATGATGGCAATCGCCGACTGACTCATCGACCCTGAAAAGAAGACGAAGATTCGATAGGATCGAATCAATCCGTTGTTTGGAATATGGTCAACTGTTGTGGGTGGAATATTATAGTTAGCTAACCACCGGTACCCAGCTAGAAGCAACTCTCGAGGAATCCACTTCGTCAGCAAAGCTCAGATGTTGCTTCATTCCTTCGTCATGGGACAGCCACCCCCCATAGCTGAACGCCCATTGTGACTTCGGAGGGTACCAGAACCAGGGGGTTTGAGGGTTCTGTACTGGTAGCTGGCCCGGGCCTGAGACCACAATCTGCAGTGAAGTTGCTATCACTACGTAAGTAGCTGTAGCTAGCGTGTGGTGGTAAGCCTCCACCAAAAACTCCAATGCAACCAAACGGTCCCAAAGTGCCCCCCCCCCCTTGGCACACATATAGCTCGAAACCACCCGGACATCAGGGGCCAGTCCAAGGATTGTAGCAGAGCCAACAACTGATTCTTGGGAGCAACCGAAACAGGTTTAGACAATGTCGAGTTGCAGAAAGCACGGACAGTTCAGAGGGAGGTACAGAGGTAAAGTCCAGCAGACTGAAGTTCTTCGCAACATTCTCTGCCGATGTAACCTCCACAAAGCAAAGTGTGGTTGGTGGTGCCCCTTGAGTGGCATAGCGTTGTCCCCGTATTTTAGCATATTTTGGTGCCATGGGGTAGCTCAGCTCGCCCGTCCTCGTCGAATGTATCATCTCGAAAGATACGAAGAGAACGACTTTCTTCTCAGATAAGATGCAAATGACTTTCGGGGGATGGAATCTGGTGGAGCGTCTGCTTCGTCGTTGTCTAGCGGGACTGCCGAAGATTCCGAGGAAGCGTTCGCAAGCTGATCGTTTCGATGCGACTGAAGATTGTCGAGGTATGTAGCATAGGAATTGTTTGGGTGGTCGTTCGAAGGCTTATCAGTGTCATTGCTCGGAGAGATTTGATCCGATGTCGTTTCTGCTTCAGATCTTCCGAACAGCGATCGATGTAGGAGAGAACCTGCACGGGCAACAAAGTGGGCATCGACGTTCGATCCAACTTCTGTAGATTCGTTTCGTTTCGAATACAAAAAGTTGGCGTAATTCGTTCGTTTCAGGCCTTCACCAGTTCCTTTTTTGCCTTCGTTGACGCCTGTTTTGTTACATTCTTGTTTCAGACCATCAACGAAACGTAGCAACGAGCTTGATGTGGAACCATGGGACCGGCCTTCCTCCATCTCATCAATATAAATGTCATCGTCTTGCAGTGGATTGTTTGAATCAGACGGATTGCTTTGGCTCCTGATGTTGTTGCTTCGGAGCTGCATGCCTTCATCATTGCCCTCTTCACTTGCTTCGGGTGGCGCGCTGCTTTTGATTTCATTCGGACGAGAATCCTCCTTTGATGGGTTAATTGGATCAGAACTTTCGGGAGTGTTGTTCTTTGCCGGAAAGATGTCGTCAAGATCTAAGCTTGTTGTTCGAGTGGAGGAGGAAGTAGCGTTTGATTGCCTACGTGTAACGTCCGAGGTTGGATCATGTCGATTTGAAATGCGATCTGATCTTCTAATCTGTGAGGTGCCAACGCTTTTCTGAAACACTTGGTCCAGTTCGAGGCTTTCATTTCGTCGAATTGGGGGGCCTGTAGAAGGATTGGTGTTGATTGCCTTTCTTTCTCTGGCGGCAGCAGCAGCGTCGACTTCGGTGTCAGACTCTTCGGGAATTGAAGCTGGAAGATACTTCATTTTTCTTCTTCGTTCGTATGACCGGTCGAGGGAATTGTCTACTCCGAACGTATCTTCGGAACTCTCATCCTTTATCATGGCTGGTTTTTTGGCGATGTGAAAGTAATCGAGGTAGCTTGTTGATGCTTCTGGCACAACATAGTCGTGCTCTGAAACTACATTGATCGGCAACTGGCTGACCGAGTCCGAATTTCTAACTTCCCCGTCAACATACTTGCATGCACCCTGCGTGATTTCCGCAACAGTCAATGACTGGCCCGTGTAGAAATTGAGCTCTGCAAATCTCTGCGTAATGTACTTGATCAAGCCTGGATCAGTCCCCATGCGGACCATGCACAAAATAATGAACATGGCTTTGTCGACTTCCCCGTCAAAATTATCCAACCCCAGTTCTTGCAGAAATTCCAGCTCCTGCTTTGTGACAACTGTGTCAATTGCTGCCTTTGCTTCGTCCCATTGTCCCTGTGAAACCAAAACTTGAGCCACCTCAGCGCACGCGACTGCCATAATTGGGACCCCTATCATTGTAAACGCCGCAGTCAAACCAAATAACCAGGTTGGGGAATCATTTGGGATTGGCCAATGGCCTCCAGTGCTGAGTGTTGATACAGCAAAATATTGTGCTTCACCAAAGGACCATTTCACTGCCACCATGGAGTAAATGATCATGACAATGATGAATCCCAACCATACTGATACAGCCTTGAGAGCTGATTTGTTGTGAAAGATCCATGCCTGCAACTTGCCCTGGTAGGATCTATCGGAGGACAAAATGGCCTCTTCAATAGTCTTTTCATGTTGCATTGTTGTGAACCATGATTCCGAGTTTTTGGTAATTTTCTCAGCAAAGAAGGACAATGCCACACCGACAAAGGAGGCACCCAGTAGTACATAGAGGCTGGAAAAGTAGATGTAGTTTCCAACAGTAGCCTCAGACGGATATCCAAAGCCGATAGAGTAGCCAATATTGATGGCCATGTAAAAGCCCTTGACGAATCCCAGGTTGCTCTTTGGAGCATAGGCATAGAACAGAGCGCCAACAAAAAGCCAAACGATCCACAGAACGAAAAAGACTGGCTCTCTTTTCTGGTGCTGATTGCGGAATATTCTTCTCTTGAATCGTCTCAGTTCTTCCCATAAGGGATCTGCCAAACTGGTCCTCTGAAGCACTACCCCAGAAGCACGAGCTCTGTCTTCTCTCCTGCGGAGCTTGTCCACCTGTTCCTGCAAGTCCATTCTTTGGCAACATCAATCAAATCAAATTACTAGTAAATCAAATTTCAATCAATTTGAAAGAGACAGGGCTGTTTGCGTCTGTGGGGTTGTTCCTGCTCAGCTTTCCAGGGCCGCAAAATGCGTTGGATAGACATGTAAATGTACTATTAACCGGCAGCCCCCAACTAGCTATAGTAGGTGAGAGAGAGTGAAATGAAGTAAGCGTGCCGTCAGACTGTTTGCTGGTTGCCTTTCAAGCCTTCAAGAGCTGAGTTCGATTGATTTCATCTACAGTGGAAGGTTTTCTCTTAGGAAAGCAACAGGAAACAGGAACTGTTGTAAATTGGAAGAGCAACAACGCAACGACCCTCTCCTGGAGATTTAAGGATAGTCAACGACCATATGATTACTTAGAAAGCCTTCTTTGGAAAAAATGTCTGCTTGCCCTAAGAACAATATTTGTACACGTACTGGTGTTCGTACGTTCGTACCGGTACCGGGTGGAGGACACCTTTATTTTAAATTAATTAAAGCACCACGTACGGTTTCTGTAACCGGTAAAAGGTTGGGAATGTGGGAATGGCCGGTGAAGCAGCCGTCGCAGATCGCAGAGTTCGTACCGCTACACTACTATGTACCAATACCATAGAAATAGATTGACAAAATTTTAAAATGACAAGTCAAATCACCCTTCCAAAAGGACGGACACAGAAACCAAAGACATTGACAAGGCCAATAGGCCGGTCTCTACCAGAGCGACTAAAGTAGCGACTAAGCCATATTTCATAGTTTAGTCGATAGTTTAGTTCTGGGGTGGTGTCTACCAAGGGACTAAACGTTGTACGGACTAAAGCTTTAGTCCTTACGCTCCTTCACCGACTAACCAACTCCGGTAGTCGGTGACGAACTAAAGACTAAAGCTTTTTAAGAACTCTTTAAAAAAAGAACAGCACTTTTAGAACAGCACTTTGAAAAAAGAACAGACCCTCATTGCACAGCCTCCCTATCAGAGCATCGCGACAGAGCTGATAGAGTAGAGGTGCAACGATCGAACGATCAAGAGGGAGTATCGGATCGAACGACGAAGAGGAGTACGGCCGATAGTAGAGGTGCGATCGACGATCGAACGACGAACGATCGAAGAGGAGTATCAGCCGCACCTCTATCGCACTTACCCTTTATCAAGCCGACAGTCTTCGTTGAGAATAGAAAGCCATCCTCATTGCAGAGTATGGATGCGGGATGGCTTTCATTTCCGGCCTTTGACTGAATGATATAGTAGAGGTGCAAACGAAGAAGAGGAGAGTGTGTTTTGTGTTATTTGTTATCTCAGTCTTGTTATCTCAAAAAGTAATCACTTCTGTTAAGTCTTTGTTGAGTCCTTTAAATCCACCATGCTGATGAATATTGGTAGCCCACCAAGTGATCACTTTTGTTAAATCTTTTTTGAGTCCTTTAAGTCCAGCACCCTGCAATGGATTTAGTCGCGGTGTTTGTTTAGTCGCCACGGTAGACACCACGTTTTGACTAAAAACTCGACTAAATTGTTTAGTCCGAGATTAGTCATCTGCTGGTAGACACCACCATTACTAAAGGATAATGACTAAATCTTGAACTAAACAACCACCTAAAGGATTCCTTTAGTCGCTACTTTAGTCGCTCCGGTAGAGACCGGCCTTTTACAACAATTGCAAGAAAAGATGAGGGCCAGCCGCCGCAAAAAGCCCCCTCTGAGAGTAGCAAAAGTTATAGTTCCAAGCTGCCAAAAAGTAAAAAAACTTTCCCAAGGAGTGAGCAGCTTCGACGACGCACCCCTACCGGTATTGGTGGTATAGCTGGTAGCTCTCCAAGCAAAAAGCAAAAAGCACTTCGCTGTGTGCTTTTTTTGATCAGATGGGCTTGCACTGGGAGCTGGGAGCCACTTGTTTGGTTTCTTCAGAGTTCAGAAGACAACAATCAATGATCCAGTGCATTGAGGAAGCCAGAACTATTAGCTTTAAGACAAAGCTATAGCTATAGTACTCCAGCAGAGTACAAGAATACTACATGTAGTACATGTATCGGTACTGTCTTCAGTGCTGTCACCCTTTGCGCGCATAGCTGTACTGTACGTTCTTACCACACACGTATTAGTACATTCGATCTAACAACTCACAAGTAGTGAGAGTACAGCGTACCGTAGTGGAATACTATCCACGTCTCGTCTCGGGCTTCTACTACCACACAATTAGATTTAGGCGGGCGAAGCACTCGAGGGTCTCGCTCTTGAGAAACAACAGGCAAACAATTTCAAAGCGCAATAAATGTAGGATGGATTCGGTTCAGGGGCCTCTGTCGCTTCTTCTGATACGGCAAGATCTCGTTCAACCATTGTGTCAGGTTTGATGCTGTTTGCTGACCTTTGGAGGCTAAAAGACAACTACATTGTTCATTGATAAGTGATACGAAAAGCCATGACGTCCTTGTGCAAGAAGATGATGTTGTTGTTCTTGTGTTGTTTGTCTATCAGTTGAGTTGCCTGAATTGAGGCCGGAAATGCAATAACATACTGCTTTCTCAACTCATGCCTTGCCTTCTTGCCTCTGTTTGAACTCCAAACACCCTGCAGCTGTTGTGAGGGCACAGCCCCCCAACGATGTGTGTGCCTCGGGCGCCACCACACTAGCTATTAATGGTCCAGCTGTGGTGGGAACAACAATCGATGCTACATCTACCACCAGTTCTGGTTGTGGGGTCACCAAGCAATCACCGGAAGTCTTCTATCAAGTTACTGGCAATGGTCGTCGAATGAAAGCCACCACGTGTTCCGGCAGCACCGACGCCACCCTGCCCAACTTTGCAACCGCCATTGCTGTATGGGACCCCAATCTTTGTGCTGGAGGATGCAATCAGGGTAGTAGTTCTGATCCCGAATGCTCTAACGTGAACGCTGCTAGCGTGACATGGGATTCAACGGTGGGTGGCGTGTACTCTCTCCTTGTCTTTGGTCGACAAGCGGGTGTCATGGGAGATTTCGAAATTACCATCACCGACTTTCCCAACCCAAGCAACGATTTTTGCGACCAGGCTTTGCCATTACCTATTGATCCCAATACCGTCACTGTGACAACCACTGTCAATGCAACAACTAGAACTACGTCCGGTTGTGGTGTTGTGAAACAGGCTGCCGAAGTATTCTTCCAAGTTACGGGGAACGGACGCAAGATGACTGCTACCACCTGCCATAACGAGACCACCTACCCCACCGCTTTGTCTCTATGGAATCCGAATCTATGTGCTGGGGGTTGCAATCAAGGCAGCACTGTCGATGCAGCATGTGATTCTATCAATGGAGCAAGAGTGACCTGGGATTCTACAGATGGGGGAGTCTATACCTTGATCGCGTACGGAAGACAGGCAGGATCAGAGGGCATGATTGGCATCTCTGTAGATGATTTTATCAATCCTCCCAACGATTATTGTGATCAAGCAATCCCCTTGTTGCCTGGTGGAGCGGAAGTTACTGGGACAACCATCAATGCCACTGTCCACACTTCTTCAGGTTGTGGTGTGACCAAGGCGTCACCAGAAGTGTTCTATGCCGTAACTGGGAATGGTGAATCAATGAGTGTTACTACCTGCTCCAGTCAGACTGACTTTGAAACTGGATTGGCCATCTGGGATCCAAATATATGCGCAGGGGCTTGCAATTCTGGCAGTGTCTCTGGCTGCGGCAACATCTTCGATACGAAGGGTGCATCGATTACCTGGGACACAACGGCAGGCGCACAGTATACTATCGTGGTCTTTGGAAGACAAGAAGGAACCACCGGCAACTTTGCTATCCGTGTCTTTGATCCTAATTCCACTCCTGCTCCGTCAACGGGACTTCCAACAACCACTTCTCCTACTTTGACTCCATCCCTCACTCCGTCCACCAAGCCATCGTCTAATCCTTCCAGATCTCCGTCGAAATCTCCTACATCCACTCCCACAACAGCTACTCCCACAACATCTACTCCCACAACAGCTACTCCCACAACATCTACTCCCACAACATCTACTCCAACCATCGCCCCGTCTGCTTGTTCTTCGGGGGAGCAACATGGAACGCCTCCCATGGCAAGGACGTCTTTGTTTAATTCCATTGTCATCATGGCAGTCACAGCAGCGGCAATGAATCTTACGGTGTAGTTGATGACAGCATGAGCTCGTTAGAGAGCTCCGGTATTGTCATAAAGAACTAACTTATCGAGGCGTTTTGAAATAACATTGCTCTGTTACCGGTACCGGTTACCTGTAACATCTACCAACCTTTACCGAAAATTACATAGCGCATGGTACGATACCGTATGGTACCGGTGGTACCGGTACCAATCGCTCCCGCTCCAGTCGTCCAAAGCTCAAAGCCGCATTCATTATTTCAGTTTCGCTGGTATCTTGAGTCAGGTCATTTGCATAAGCACTGGTTTACACCTTCGGAATTTCGGCGATTACTATTTGCTTAATGGTGGCCTTCCTGTAATAATTGGTGGATTTGAGTGTATCCTCATTGGTTTAGAGAACCTGTGTCCAACGAACCCAATGACACTGAAACATATCAAAGGTGAGCGAATGGTGCAATAACAGAAATGGCTCCAGGTGTCTTCAACGCTTATGGAGGAGTCTTACTGGCATCCGAATCCCGATGGTCAGCAACTGAGGTCCAGCTGGACCTTGCTTTTCGCTTTTCGACCATCGCAACCAACACATACATGTCTCGCAATGAGGCTCTTGTTTTGGACTCGGAACTCACCAACGACAATTTCCGTGAGCAACGACACAATTTTTCAATTGACTTGATCATTGTTGAACATTCAAGTGATCAAGTGAACGCGTTGATCGAGTGATCAAGTGTACTCCGAGTATTGGTTTCCATTCATCTCTTGTCACAATGACGACTTTATCCTCCTCTGCAATGACAACTACTAATACTACTACTTCGACGACAAGCCACCATGACAATCTCTTGCAAAAGCTAGAGCGCAACGATTCCTTCACGACTTGGTTGACCCTGAGTCGCAATCACCTTGGAATGGATCTGTGTCGGCTGAGTGCTGCCTTGAACGCCAACAGTCACATTACCAAAGTTTCCTGTCACGCCCACTTTGTGGCCAACCTTTCCACTCACTCCTTGACGCGGTTGCTGAAAGCCTGTGCCAGTCTATCGGCACTAGAGGAACTATGGGTCGCCTTGCCGAGCAATCGATCGCATCTCTCCTCCACAGTCGTCGAGACCATTGCGGCCGTGAGCAACAGCAACCTGAAAAAGTTGTCTATTCGAGGAGTCAATCCAGAGGCTTGCAGTACCGTGGCGCAGTCGCTGTCGAGTGGTGCGTTGGTGCAGCTCGAAGAACTCAACTTGTACGGGGACTGCTCCACGGCGGCTTGCTTGGACGTGTTGCAAGTGTTGGAAACTACCAATACATGCTGTAGTTTGCAAAAGCTCGTGCTGCCTCGTGTCACTGTCAACACCGCCTGTTGTCAGAGTCTGGCGCGTGTCTTGACTGTCAACCGTACTTTGACCAAACTGGACTTTTTGGGTGGCGCTTCAACAAACAACAATGCCACTACGACTGGTGGTTCAAAGAAGACCAAGGCATGTCAAGAGGTGGTCGACGTACTAGCATCGGGACAAAATACCACCCTGACAAGTTTGCAATTACTGGACACGAATCCCGAGCTTCAATCGGCATTGACCTTTTACACAGAGATCAATCGAGCCAACATTCCAGCCCTACTGCAGCAATCCACCATTTCCTGCGAGGAATTTTGGCACGTCGTCCAACAAGGCAACAACAACAGCAACGATTGCAGTCTGCTCTACCATGTACTCTTGCAGGCACCCCAGTGGCTCGCGTCCGGCTTTGACAACAATCGCAACTCTTCTAGTAATGGAGGATCCTTCCAAAAGCAAAAACTGTCTCCCATCAAGACGTCACGAAGAACGTCTCTTCCCTTCTTGTCAAAACCCGTCCGGAGGGTTGCCACAGTTGCCACAGTAGTACCCACCAAGAGTAACAATAATCACGTTGTCGTGGACAAGACTCATCGACGGTGCAGTGAGCCCATCCTCCGCGTGTCCGTGGCAGATTTGTGCGCTTCCGAAATGGATCCTTCTACCGAGGAAACTCCAAAACAAGTTTGTCCCACTAAAAAGAGCGAGGAATATCCTTCCCAGCATGGTGACAACCAAAAGGACGACTGTGCCATGCCTCTGACGGTGGACCAGCCACTGGTCATCCAGCAGCGAAGCGTCAACAAGACGTTGCAAAAGACAACAGAACCCGAAAACGAGCAAACTCTTCCCAAATGGAATGAGAGCCGACCGATTTGTCCTCGTTACAAGGCTCATAGTACTCGTAGTGTGCCAAAAGAGCAGGCCCGCACGACCATCACTTCGACATCGTCCTCGTTTGCCATTCCATTGACAAGACAACATGAAAACCACAAGAACACAACTTCCAACAACAACAACAACAACAACGGTGAAACGAAAAAGAGGGTCTCGAAAGTGCTGCAGACAGCTCATGTCTTTGGGGAGCCAGCAGCCTTTAGCACTCCTTGGAAGGGTGCTGAGCTACGCGCCTAAACAATTGACGGACGGACTTGACAGCCAAGTCCCAATCTCTAGACTACCGTACGGTATGATTGCATAACCCAAAAGTTAGTAAACAAAATAACTACTAGAACTACTGATACTCGACTTCTACCCTACCGGTAGCAGGTATAGACGCGGTAACGTTGGTCGCTGGCTGCGGCATATAAATCAAATCGTTCGATTCTAGCTCGTGCTTCATGGCATGGCTTTGATCATTTGGGTGGAAAGCTTGGAAAACATTAAAAACCAAGCTTCCCGTGTGTCTTCGTCCCAGGCGTGTTCCGGAAGTATCTCTCCCAACGTCTGCAATAGGGCTTCACATAGAGACTGAAACATGCTCGGTGTTACTCCCATCTTTCCATGCTTCGCACCAAGACGAATCATCTCTTCGGATAGATGTTTGGCTTCCATCATTGTCAGAGCCCGGTCTAGCATGTCCACAAACCGGACCGAGTGCACTCGAAACGCCAAACTGTTACGGACGGTGGGAGAATCGGGGTCTGCATCTAGAGGAATACCAAAAGGAACCTTGGAGTCCGGGCACTTGAGAAACATGCTGAGGGCGGGTGGAAGAGACAGAGAAGCAATCGAGCAATTGAAGGATGAGCGAGAAGTCTGCCAGCAAACTAATTAGTTGTCTCCAAAAGGACTTGAGAGAGCCGTCCTTAAGCAAAACCAACCAGCAGCTGCCACTCACCTGTGAAACAACTTGGAACCAGCTACCTCTCGGTAGTTTGGAATCTCCTTGACTTTGCTCCAGGATGCAAACACTGCCTTCTCCAAGTTCATCGACTTGACCATCTCGGTGCGAATTTCATCCAACACTGTCTGCCAGGAGTCGCGCCTCATAGACGTGAACCGGTCACCAAGGAGCTCACTCAAAGACTCAATGAAAACGTCGGACATGTAGGCAAAGTGTTCCACTTCAAGCCCAAAGCGAATGTGTTTCTTTGCACTTGCCGACAAGATCTCTGCCAGGAGATCAATATCCGGACCCAAAACATTCACTGTTCGGTCAAGCATTGAAGTCAAGAATCTAGCATGAGTTGTGAAGCGGGGGCTCTTTTGGACGGATGGAGACGTCGGATCCACATCAATGGGGAAACCAAAAAGGAGTTTCAACGGAGGGGACCTTTCAAACAACCTGAAGAGGAAGTGGAAAAAACGTGTTCAGTGAGCATTGGTTCGCACGTCGTCACTGAGTGTTGCTGCGCTTTGGTGGGGACGTACTTTTGGAACACTAGACTGCCAAACTTGTCTTCGTACTTTTCAATGCGTCTGACATCTTCCCAGCATTCAAGCACATCGAAGGTGCACATGCAATCAATATCAAAGACCATGGTGATGCTATTTTGTGCAAATAATGCTGCTTTAGGTGGGGGGGCTGAGCTTTTTTGGAAAGGAATGAAAATGTGAGCAGTGCTTCATCAAACTTCAGCAGAGTTTCACAAGGATCATCAGAGGAATGCCCCAATGCCCCTCACGCGACTATTGCCCAAACTAGCTAGCCACTACTGTAGCTACGGTAGCCACAAGCCTTGCTGGGATCTTGTCTAATTTCCATGACGTGTTATGGGCTTCCATCCAAATCCTACAACAAATTCTTCAACTATTGCATTACAGAATCAAAGAAGCGGGGACTGACGTGGTGTTTTTGCTTAATCAAACAGTTGCACATTGGGTTGATTGATCGATGGAAGGAAATCTCTTGATTAATGCATAGGGAGGTGCCAGCTGGGTATAGATGATAGCCAGAGTTATTGCTTCTTCTCTGAGAGGAAGAAGGCAAAGACATGTTTTGCAGCTTGTTGGGCTTCAAGCGAGGAGCCACAAGGAGCGCTTGGGAACCATTTTCCACGGTCCATTGACCGTGGTTTCTGTCCACATGTCCACATCAGAGTGACATCAGCACTGTCGAAAAGGTTTGAAAGGTTTTGATTGATGGATCTGGTCTGTTGATGGTTGATGGGCTTCACATCTCACCACTCACTAACCTCGTGGATAAGGGTACGGGTACCGTGCTGGGCTATTCCATGTCTACTAGTCTGCTGCCCCGGGACTGTATGGTCGTAGCTGTGGGGAGCGAGATATCATCATCTGGGGCATGTAGTCTGAAGAATCTGAAGACGTGAAGACCCATTCTCCTCAGTTGAGTATGGTACTGCTTCTCGAGCTAGCTGCCACAGTTACTAGTGAGCTACAATTCATCCAGACTCGACTCTCAATTGCCCTTGGTAAGCCACTCATTTATGGTGTTTCCGTTGATCCTGCAAAGTCAAGCCCTTTGGCTGGCCCCCGAGCGAGTTATTGGCTGGTCCTCGATTTGCTTGTCGCCCCTGATCCCACCGAACCTAGCTACCATAGTAGTCCCGAATTCCGCCTCTTTCTTTGCCTAAGACTGGCCCCTCGCTGGCTTCGGTAGTGACTTCTCTACTGTGAAAAACCCCTTATTGCAGAAAGGAAGAATAAGGAAAGCGTCCAAGTGCAGCAAAATCAGGAAATCAAGCAAAAGCAGTCGTACCGCTTGGGATTTGTCACAGCTCAGCAGGCTCACAAAAGATCAAAAGATTTCTGAGGCAGCAAGCAAACCAAACAAAACAATCTACACCCGACAAAGGAAGACAAAAGGAAGGTGGCAAAGGCAGGGACCATGGTAAAGAAAAGGGTTCAGCTTGTTCTCCAAGATGGCGACCTGTTCCTTCAAACCAGCCACTTTGACGATGATGCACTTCGTACGAGTGAAACCTCAATGGCTCCTTTTCGATTGCTGGCAGGAGCAATGCACTACTTTCGGATCCCACCTGAATACTGGGAAGACCGCATCATCAAGTGCCGTGACATGGGATGTAATGCCATCGAGACATATGTGGCGTGGAATGTCCATGAGCCTGAACCGGACCAATGGACATTCGAGGGATTTGCCGACATTGTGCGGTTTGTAAAGTTGGTTGAGAAACACTCTCTCTACATGATTGTCAGGGTGTCGCCCTATATTTGTGCCGAATGGGATAATGGTGGTATGCCCTATTGGCTCTTGCGAGATCGCAATGTTCGACTTCGATCCAGGCATCCAACATTTCAAAAAGCTGCCAAAAATTTCTATAATGTTGTCATATCCAAACTCAAGCCCTTCTTTGCCACAAACGGGGGACCGATATTGGCAGGTCAATTGGAAAATGAGTATGGATGCACCAACAATGATTCAGAATATCTGCAAGCGCACTATCGGTATCTTCGAGATGACCTGGGGGTCGACATTCCCTTGTTCAACGGGATCTGGGCTGAGGACCGCTTTCTAAAGGCAGGAAAGTGCGAGGGTACCATTGTGGCATTGAACTTCAATGATGGTGCCGCAGACAAGTTCTCCTGGCTGGAAGCCGCGACTTCCTCGTCCAATCCACGAGTCTGTACCGAGTTTTGGGTGGGTTGGTTCTCAGCCTGGGGTGGACATAGATACAAACCACGAGAATCACCCGAAACCATTGCCACTAGATTTGATGAGCTGCTATCAGCCAAAGGCCATGCAATACTCTATCTGTTTCATGGGGGAACCAACTTTGGGATGCGCAATGGGGCCAACATCCGAGCCGACTACTGTCAATTCACCATCACTAGCTATGATTATGAAGCACCTCTGAATGAAGCGGGTCAAATCACTCCGTACTATGCCGCGTTGCAAGAGGTCGCCAAGAATCACGGCCACGAGCCCATGCCGACACCCTCGGTCGACGTTGATGTTGGTTCCATACTTCCCGTACCGCCACCCAAATCGTATCCAACGATTCAAGTTACGAGCCAGGCTTTGCTGCTGGACCAACTACAGCGTCCGGGATATCAATCAAAGGTCATTGCCAGTCCGTATCCACTCTCCATGGAGGAGTGCCACCAAGCCTACGGATACCTACTGTATCGAACGCACATTCCGGGTCCCACTCCACCGTCAGAGGGTGGCAACACCACCGAGACACTCTCCATCAACGAGCTACGCGACCGGGCTCATGTGTTTCTGGATGGCTCATATCTGGAAACACTGGAACGCACGGCTGGTCGATGTGTGGCCCAGACAAGCAATCGGTTTCAAGTTCCTCCCGAAGGTTGCCAAGTGGATATACTCGTAGAGAACCAAGGCCGGTGCAACTTTCCTCCCTTCACTCAAGACTTTAAAGGGATCACAGAGAATGTGTTCCTTGGCGACTGTTTTGTCTTGTCCAACTGGGATCACTTTCCATTATCTTTCTCCCCGGAACAACTTGGTGCTCTGGAATGGTCGCCAGTGGGCAGTGGGACAGTGCCCCAGAAGAATCAACCGTGCTTCTTTCGTGCTACTTGGGACTTGCCCACGGTGCCCCTTCAAGACACATACATTTTCTTGCCGCAATGGCAAAAGGGAGTTGTTTTGGTGAATGGCTTCAATCTAGGAAGGTACTGGAACAAGGGCCCGCAGCTTTCTTTGTACTGTCCTGCAACAGTTTTGGTTCAGGGTAGCAACGAAATCATTATTTTCGAGGAAGAGGCTCCAGGGAGTGCCATTCGGTTCATTGACGCCCTTGAAATGAAGAGTTGAAAATACCCCAAGTCAGGAGCAAATTCCCTGTTTTTCCCGATGCGCAGGGCGAGCTTCAATTTGGCGATACTAGTATCCCTGTTATTTATTTATTTATTTATTTATCCCTGGCTGTTTGTTGGCTGCAGTTGAGTGAAAAGGGGTTGTCGGTTGTCGAGTACAAGTAAGTATGGCAGGAAGCTGCAGTGAGTGGTCTGTGATTCTTTTGACGCTGCTGTTGACCTTGCCGAAAAGAAACTGGAAGAACAATCATGCGCTGTCGGGTTGTTATTTCGCAACCACCACGAAAGCACAAACACAAGTTAGACGCGCCAACGCCAACGCCACTACCTTCGGCGCCGGGATTACAGAATCTTGTCATGACAAACGAAACCCTTGTGCCCAAGGCCTTAGTTGCATTCGAGCTCCATCGTTTTGGGGGTTGCTGGTACCGAGGCGAGTTTGTTTCCCATTGGATTGCCTGCTGGATGCAGTTAACAACTTCAATGACGCTGTCAATGTGACAGATTACATTCATGCGACCCTTCAAGGAGCACAGGTTACCCCAGAAGAGTTCTTCATGCAGGATCAACAGTTGTCAGCATCTCGTGTCGCAAAGGAAATGAGAACGTCTCCTTCAGTTCGTCGAGTCATGGATCAAATAAGACAACATCCCATCCCGCAACCACAATGGAATAAATATGAGGGCGACGTTGCCGCCTGCGACCCACAAAGTAAGCTATCTACACCCCGAAGAAACTCTTTTGGCGTTCTGCAAGGCCCTACAACCGAGGGAGTTACTGGCTTGGTTGGGTTTGGAGCCGGTGCAGGAGCGGGGTTGGGTGGAGGTGTGGAGTTTTTCTTTGGATTTCCCAACGCAAACCCGGTAAGTCCTGTTGTGTCGAGTTGCTTTTTTTCTTTGTTCTCTTTTGTTTTTGTTAAATGTTCTCAACGCAATGCAACCCATCTCAACCATACACCTTGCAATTTCATACTTGCAGTATTTCTTTATTGATTTGGGAGGCGGACTCTTGTTTGGAGTTGACGCAGGAGTCTCTGGATTCATCGGTATGGCGTTCACGGGTACTCCTAGTGATATCCCCGGTGTAGGGTTTGAACTTGAGCTTCAAATTCCAACACCTGTTGTAGGTCCAGGCATTGCGGTTGGCGTTGACCTCAACCCAGTATGGGATTTGTCCGTGACGCTTAGTGTTGGCGCTGGCATTGGAGTAGGAGGTTTTAGTGCTGGCTATACGTGGGTAAGAATCAAATTCGATCTCGTTGTTTCTTGTAGTCCAATAAGAACTTGAGTGCTAACATCAACATCAATGTCAAAACAGGGCTTCCCGGAAACGAGCACGGCAGACACAAACCATACCACAGACACAAACAATACAAGATAAGCTTGCCAGTGTTGTACTAACAGGTCAGATGCTACAGAGTGGGTGAAGCCCACCACCAGCTCGAAAGGCAGCAAAAAGAAGGATACAGAGTGCATAGTCCTTTGAAAGAGAAGGGTAGGTACTCCATGGATACCAGCCCGCCAAAGAACCAGGGCCAGTAACACTCGAAGTTGAAAGGTAGCAAACCTTGCTATAAATGAAAAAGTCATGTACTCATATCCGTATCTCCATACTTCCTGGTTCCCCCAGGGATCATGCAGCAAGATTCATCGATGACAGTCCATTTTAAAAATGGGATGGCATTTACGGGCATGTCCACTAATATCCCCGGTGTAGGGTTCGAACTTGAGCTTCAAGTTCCAACACCTGTTGTAGGTCCAGGCGTTGCGGTTTTTGTTGACCTCAACCCGGTCTGGGATTTGTCCGTGACGCTTAGTGTTGGCGCTGGAGTGGGAAGTTTATTGCTGGTAAGAATCAGATACGATCTCGTTAATGCTTGCAGTCCAATAAGAACTTGAGTGCTAACATTAACATCAACGTCAACAGCACGGCTTCCCAGAAACGAGTACGGCAGACACAAACAATACAATCCTCTTCCTGATAAGCTTGCCAGTGTTGTACTGGTAGGTGAGATGCTACAGAGTGGTTGAAGCCACCGCCAACTCGAGAGACAGTAAAAAGGAGGATACGGAGTGCATAGTCCTTTGAAGAGAAACCTATTCCATGGATACCAGCCTACCAAAGAACGAGGGTCAGTAACACTCGAAGTTGAAAGGTAGTGAACCTTGTTATAAAATGAAAAAGTCGAGTACCCATATTGCTATCTCCATACTTCCTTTGGTTCCCCAAGGGGAATGAATTATGCAGCAAGCTGCTGATGTAGGGACGTCCCCGAGCCCCTACCCTCGATGCTTCACTGCTGGCTGATTCAATCAGTCCCATTGTCCAAATAATTCTGGCTGGACGTGGCCAATAGCAACACTGCCCATTGCAATGCTCATAAGGTTCGAACAAATACAGTGGTACCTATCTTGAACCAGCGTTGGAGCCTCCGCACAAGGGCTTTGCTGTTTGGCTACGCACGAAGATGCCTGGTCTGTCAAAGGTGTGTATTATGCACGTGCAGAAGTACGAATGTAAGCCGCCCGTTCCCGACGATGCAAGTCGCTTACCCACGTCGAAGAGGGCCAATTTCAACTCTGGGAACATCCGGGTCCTTCATTTTGAGGTCCCGGGGGTGATTGCTGAGGCGGATTCGGTTGCTGCTGCTGTTGGTTTTGCAATAGGACCTGAAGTAGTTGTGGTACCTGTTGCATCGGGGCACCAGGCGGAACACCCGCCCCTGCTGCCATTCCTTGATTTTCTGGGTTCGCCATTGCCAAGGCTTGCTGTGGTTGCTGCTGCTGCAGGTTCTGTCCAACTTGTTGCAGGGATTGCTGGAGAATAGCGGCAAAAGACTCTGGACTCATGAAGGCTTGCTGTGTACCCGGTTGAACAAAGGGTTGCTGGAACGTAGGCTGTTGTGCCATGGGCGGCTGGGGTTGCGGCGGCTGTGGGTGAGCCATCGGTTGCTGGGGTCGTGGCATTGTTGCCTGTTGCTGAGCTTGCACTCCGTATTGTTGCATGTACTGAAACACGCCCGGCATCGCTTGTAGGGCCTGCATAGGCATCGCTTGAGCGGCATGGTGCGTTGCCTGCTGACCTGCCATCTGGCCAAGCTGCTGAACAAGCTGTTGAGCAGCCGCTGCGTCAGTTGCGTACCGCTGCTGTTGCAGTTGCTGACCGTGGATCTGCAAGTGATTACTCCCAAGCAATAAAACCAGCTGAAGAAGAGTCCGCATTGGCAACAGTTGGGGGTCACTCTGCGAGGAGACATTAAGGAAGTGTTCAGTGTGTTGCAGCAGCCCACGGAGAGCCACTATTGTGGGGTCTTCCGAGCCCTGGGCGGGTCGAGCGGCGCCAGTACTAGCGGTTCCGGTCGCCCCAGTGGCTTCCTGGTTTGACGAATCAGCCAGGTTGACTGTCGCTGGCGTAGCTTGACTTTTTTGCTGACCGCTGAACCTCTGCAACAAGGCGTTTGCTTGCATCTGAAGTGTCTCTGTGTCTGGAGGACTCGGGCTCTCATTTTCCTCCTCTGCTTGGTCCGATTGAGCCGCGGTGCTTGCCTGGGTGGAGGCAGCCTGTTCGGACATCATCCCAGCTGCGGGTGGTGCCCCCCCAGCCAGATTTCTCTGGTGCTCGTCGAAGACATCTTGAACATCACTGTCCATCATCATGTACTGGACATACTGAGGTCTAGCTTTTTGAAAGAGACTGTTGCGCAGAACGATGATGTTATCCGGCTGACCATGATCTGGCACTTTCTTGAACCCCCTACGAAGCGGCGTATTGAATCCTCGTGTTAGCCTCTGAGCCCATCATACAAGGTTTGTCAGCACCGCGGCATGAACTTACCATCGGGTCAGAGTCCGCAAAAACGTAGCAAACCTGTTGCCATGGAAATGGCTTGCAAGAACTCCACAATTACTTAAGACCTCCGGATTGATGGCTATAGCTTCCCCATTTTGTAACCACCACATTGCATTGGGGGCTATTGCGTTCTCCAGAATATGCATAACTCGCTCTGCAAAAGTAGTTGGGTTGGGGAAAGTCCCGCCATGGGCAGGTTTTGCGTCCTCTTCTGATGTAGCCGGTTCGCCCCCCGGTGAGCTGGATCTGCTGCTAGTCGATGCCTTATTCGGGTCACTGCTGTCGCCAGTCGTCACAGCCTCCCTTGATTGCGCCGCTTCGTCGGAACTGTCTGTTTCCCTGTCTGTGCCAGTCTGGGCCTCTACTCCCAGGGCAACGGCAATGTGATCGAGAGAGGCGCAACGGTGAGCTATCGAGCATTGATTGATTCGATTCGTTGTGAGAACACTTACCAGCGCGCCTCTCGTGGGCCTCTCCTGTACGAGTCCTTTGCCTTTCTTGTTTGTCCTTGGTGGCGCTTGCTCTCTTCATCGTTGTCGGACATGAGAGAAAAGCTGCACCTCCGTTGCGGCAGCTCTTTCTTGTTGGATTTGACAAACAGTTGTAGTGGCACTTCTTCAAGGCTGTGTTATCACGGTTGTTTTTTGCTCTTTGCTTTGCTGTTTGTGTGTGGGTGGGGAGCGGTGCGGACGTGTCCCAAACGATTGCTGTTGTGGTCTTCGCTTTAGGACGGGATTGATGGGATGTCGTCCCACGGAGGCATGCCACCAAGCTAAAATGGAACAGCTGGGTTTATCGTATAAGGACACGGTGTACCATACAAGCTTGTGGAGTGAACGTCACGGAATGAGGTGATGCTATGCGTGAAACAAGCGACCTTCGCCCCTGCGATTGTAGGGGCTGGGTAGCTGTTAACCGTTGGAGCTGATTTTAGCGTGGCCTTTGGTCGTCATGACGTCATTGCCTTCTTTTCAGGTGACTTGAGCTACATAATGTCAACCAACCCTCTGTATCACCTCTCGTTGCTGCAAGCTGCAAAGCACACGTTCCAGGTTGCAGGTGGTGGTATGATACCTGGAATTTGCTAGCCCCAGCTTCCAACAGGAACCTATGGTATGGAAGTTGGAAGCAATAGGGCCCGATAGCATCCACCGAGTTCAACACCTGGGCTTGTCAAACTTAATTAAGCTGTCAATGACCATCAATGCGCAACACTCTCTTCGAAACAAATACAAAGTGCACCTTTCACGCCACTCTGACTCTCTTGACTTGCTCTGACCTAATGGCTAGCTAGCTAGATCTATAGAGTGCATGTAGTCTAGGAGCAAACATCATATGCATACATGTACTGGTACATACCGTAGTGGTACCGGTACTGTACAGAAACTCGGAGTGAGAAAGGTCTTGCTCTTGGTCTCCGCAGCTATGCTGTTTTAGGACGTTATACCACACCTCGGTGTTTGCTTGATACAGCAGTACGGTACATACCGTACCGTCCATACCAGGTATCAGGTACACTGTCCATTTTGTTACCATGTTTACCACGGTTTAGGAATTCAATGATTGATGGCCAGGTTAACAACAGTCAACTATGGCATACTAGTACAGTGAACGGTACCAATGACTTGGTCTTGGTTTCCTTGGTACCGGTACATGGGGCAGTACACATTTCCTTGGATGTGCAACTTTCAACAATGGTACTGCGTCTTTGGGATTGGGGCCAACACCTGGTTAAACATGCTCGTGGCGCATCAGCTCCATACCATGTTGAGCTTCTCCGATAACCGACGGCGATACTCACCTCCCTCACGGCAGTACGTTACCATGCAAGCCATGGCAGTCTACGTGTACTGTGCATTCTTGGGAACTTGGGGGTTGATGGAAAAGGACTATTTTCTCTTTCACTCTTGGTCCGTCAGTGGTTTGGCATGTGTGCCCGTTGCAAGGGATACAACCAGTTCCCTCTTTTTTTGGCTATGTTTCATTCCGTTGTTTGCAGGTATCCCATCTGCCTACATTGGGTACATTTGCTTGCTATGACATTAGAAAGTCTGTTGACGTATCGGTACGGTCCCACGAAATCAGAAATTCGTTTGCGGGGGTAGCAACCCCTTTTCGGCAACAATGACAGCGTGCGGTGACGCCTTGAAATGCAAGCAACTCTTTGGCTTTCAACAAAAAAGACCGACAACCTACTCAGCCACCGAGAAACCATGTTTTACGGCAGACACGGAAGAACCGGAACATATCCTCCAGTTCCTTCATTCAAAAGTCCGCTGTTGCCTCGAACGCAAGAGGATGAGTCCTCGACACAGATCCTTGCAGGGGAAGACATTACAAGAGACTATAAGTATACTGCAAAAGATTACGGCTTCCATTCCCGCTGCGTCCGTAATTCAATAGATTGTGCACTAGATACATGGTAGTAAAGCTTGGGCATCTCTGCAGTCTAACGATTCTGCTGTTGCCTCTGTTGCAACAACTGCATCAGTTGCGCCAAGTTCGGTGCACCGTTCTGCGCTGCATTCTGTAGTTGGTTGGCGACTGCGTTCTGCAGCGGGTTGGCATTCTGAGCATTCTGCACGTTGGCGGCTGCAATTCTGGTTGTTTTGTGTTGCTGAACGTTTGGCTGTTGCTGCTGTTGTCGTTGAGCATTCTGTTGCTGTTGTTGCACCTGCTGTAGCTGCTGAACCAAGGTGGCTTGCTGGGCGTTCTGCTGCACATTGGCAACGGCGTTCTGGTTGTTTGCGCCGCTTTGCTGTTGATTCTGTCTTTGCAGCAGCTGTTGCAGCATATTTTGGGGGGCGTTCTGGTTCTGCAACATGGACAACGCCATGGCATTGCTGCGGCGGCGTTGTTGGTTTGCTGTTGGTTTTGTTGATTCTCTGTAGAATGGACAAAGCAGTAGCATTGCGGCGGGTTGTTGGCCTGCTGTTGGTTTTGTTGACTCTGGTTACTGCATAGGGAAGATCAGAAGCGGTAGCGTTGCTGGCAGCAGTGTTGGCTTGCCCTTGGCTTTGTCTATTCTGGTTCTGCAACATAGACAAAGCCGCCGCGTTGTTGGCCTGCTGTTGGCTCTGTTGATTCTGGTTCTGTGCCATGGCCAAAGCGGCAGCATTGTTGGCCTGGTTTCCAGCAGCGTTCTGGCTGGTTGAGTTTTGCTGTTGGGCTTGCTGCCGCTGCAATTGAAGCAGCTGCTGCTGCAACGACACTCCTTGTTGTTGCTGGTTTTGGTTCTGATTTTGTTGAGTATGCTGGGCGTTTTGCTGAACATTCTGCTGGGCATTTTGTGGGACACTCGGCTGGGCGGCCTGCTGGACACTTTGTTGGGCAGCTTGTTGAACACTTTGTTGGGCAGCTTGCTGAACGCTCTGCTGGGTGCTTTGCTGAACATGCTGCTGAGCATTTTGTGAAGCACTCTGCTGGGCATTTGGTTGATTCTGCCGCTGAAGCAGCTGCATCACAACAGAAACGTTGTTTTGAGTCTGCTGGTTTTGGTTCTGACCAGGCTGCATGGCCTGAGTAAGTTGTGCTAACAACTGGTGCACGGGATCCTGTCGCTGTTGCTGTGCTTGTCGTTGTTGCTGTTCTCTCAATCGTTCATGCTCTTGTAACCGAGGCATTTCTTGCCTGAGAGGACAACAATGAAAGAGAACACATGAGACTTTGACAATAGTACTACCAATGACGGTAAGCACCCACCACCGCTTCCTCTCAGACATAGCTTACCTTCCTGTCACCAACAGCAACTGCAACAATGTTCGAACCGTCGAGTTTTCTGTTGCGGGGATGGTTGGTTCACTGAGGTATCGCTGGGCTTGGTCCAAAAGCTGCTGAAGAATCACCATGGAATTTGCCATATTAGGAAGCTGCTGCTGTTGTTGTTGCTGCTGTGGCTGCTGCGGTTGCAGTTGCAGTCCAAGCCCTCCAATACGACTGCTCAAAAAGGCCGCAAGCTGTCCTTGAATCGAAACATTGTTTCCCTGTTGCTGTGGCTGCTGACCAAAGGCGGCCGCTGCATTGCTGCTTGCTTGTGCCTGCGGTTGGGGCTGCTGGGCTGATCCCACTTGATTGGGAGCAGCAGCAGCATTGCCCGCGGTCGTGGACTGAGCGACCGAAGCAGCTGCCCTGGCCGCCGCATCGAGTTGAGCGGCCGTTTGCTCGGTCTCATTGTGCAGTTGAGCCCTCCCAAACACCTCCTGAATGTTGCTGTCCATTCGCATGTGTCTCACCAAATGGGGGTGATCTCTGCGGAACAAACTGTTCTGAAAGGACAGAACTGTATCAGGCCCAGGATTCTCACTGGTACGACGGAACCCCCTAGTTAGAAGAAGCAAGGATAGAATGAGAGGGAGATCAGACAAATGTAGCTAGCCAGCTAGCAAGCAAATAATAAGGGCATACCATCGATTCATATTGGCGAGAAAGTCCGTGGGGCCATTGTTCTGGAAAAGGTTCTGCAAGATATTGTTTTGTTGGATCTTGGTTGAATCCACGGCAAAGGTTTGACCATCTCCCACCCACCAAAGGGAGCCATTGGCAAGTCCATTCTCCAACACGTGCATCAGGCGCTCTGCAAAATTGGTAGGATTGGGAAATGTACCGCCACCCGCATCGCGGGCAGCAATCGCAGCGGGGATGGGGGCTTGCGGGGGAATTTCTGGTCTTGGAGAGCCGTCGTCATCATTTCCACCATTGCCGCTTCCACTGCTACTACTGTTGTTGTTTGCAGGCAATCTGCCATGACGTTTGGCTTAGAAGGAAGATAATATTAGGAAGACAATACTAGGCATAGTAACAACCAACAAACCATATGGCAGATCGCAAATCAACACATCAACACCGACAGGCAGTTAACCAGTGCATGACGCTCCGGTGTCACCCTACGGTATTCATACTGCGGAGGACGAGAAGCCCCCCACTGCTCGACTACTATACTGAACTCACCTGAACGCTTGGATTGCTCATCGTCGCTAACGTTGCGTTTCATGGCTTTATTATTTCTTTTGTCTCAAAGTGCTGGCGTCTCTATCCTTCAGCCAGTACTAATACTCTTGAAAGGGCTGGCCAACGTCGGTTGTGTCTCTTGCTCCAATACACCTTTCTGTCTGTTATTAGTGGGGGATGGATGGTTGCTGCGGGTTGCGAATGAGTTTCGCAGGCCCGGTCGCAATCGGGTGGGACAGCTCGAACACAACGGCCTTGGGTATCCAGTTTAGCACGCTTTTGTGTATAATCTTAAATGTCATGAAACAGCCGCAAAGCAATCCATGTAAGCCTGACAATTTGATGCTCAGTGAATAAATGGTTTAACAGTGCAGTTTATTTTAACATCGGGTGGTGGCAAGGTCGCTTTGAAGGGGCGAAAGAAGCAAGGATGTTGGACTGTAGACCCACACTTGCTCCATGTTGGTCTCCTGACGCAGACTGGGTCTCCGTTTGTTCTTGCAGTGGGACGGTTACGATTGAGTGCTTTGGGATACTGTAGCTAGCCACTGGCAGAATGCTTTTCTTCTTACCTACTGTATCATAGTTCCTCTTCTCCTAGCCAAAAGCCCCAGAAAGATTCTGTAATGTTGGATGGCTGGATAGCTATCTCCAAGCTCCTTCCCGAGGCATCCTGCCGCCAAGCAAACGAAACGTACCGCTCAATTCAACTCTTGCTTTGGCGAGAACAACCAAGATTAGTGCGTACAAAGCAAGCAAAACGATATTCCAAAGCAAGCAAGACGCAACCAATGAATGAAGTTGTGCAGTCCAACTGCTGGAAGATGCTGCCCGTGCAAAGGTCTACCGGATTCGGTGTTGCATGCTCTTCATCTTTCCCAATCAATTCTACCGGTACCGGTACTACTACCGGTAGTAGTACCGGTACCGCTGGGTTGCTGGCACGGACTCAAATCACGTGCAATAGTGTGATTCCGGAAGAAGTCGTCACGTTCTCGAGACCAGGACTCCTCTGGAATGCAAGGGACTCTCAAACTGGGACTGAAGTATCTTTTCCAAAGATTTGGCGTCAACTTCGAACAACGAACACTTTGGAGCCTGCACTTCGTCCATCATCTATCTGGAACAACAGAGATTAGTAATAGTGCTGGGCAGGGCTCTACCTGTCACGACCAACCACCAGGCACTACTACACAGTGTAGCAAGAACTGTTCAGAGGTAGTCAAGAAACAGAGGCGAAGAAGGAAGTTTGTTTGTCTCATATTTTTGAAAATCAAGAACAAACTCCAAACTCCAATTCATTAAAAACACCAAACCATACCATTACCATGTTGCTTCAGACGGCTGTTTCTAGCGTGCGTCGAGGGTTGCCGAGGCACTCATGGGCGTCTTCGTGTCGCATTGCCGACACTGTCTTATCGGGACAACAACAACAACGCTTTGCCAGTGAACCGTGTACAAGTTTGGGGTATCTCAAGAACATTTGGATACCGTCAAGGCCACACTTCCTTTGGTCGGCGAGGCAGGAACAGACTTTACCAAACACTTTTACAGGCGCATGTTTGCCGGCAATCCAGAACTCCAAAATGTCTTTAATCAGACCAATCAAACGCTGGGAGGGCAACCCAAAAAACTACTCAAGACGGTCGCCTTGGCGGCACAGGCGGCCATTGCTACGGGAGAATTGCCCGGAGAAGCCATCGAAGGAATCTGCCAAAAGCACTGCGCTCTACACGTGGGGCCCGACGCCTTCGGAGTGGTGGGAGCCAACATTTTGGGCACAATCGAGGACTTGTTGACCAAAGATCAAGCCGTCTTGGACGCTTGGGGTGCCTTGTACGGAGATATTGCCAATGTGTTCATCACACGCGAAGCCGAAATTAATAAAGAAGTAGCCGCTGTGCCTGGAAGTTGGTCGGGTCGTCGCAAGTTTGTCATGGCCAAAAAGGAAAAGGTCAGTTCCTCCGTTACCCGATTCAAGTTTGAACCCGTCGATGGACAGCCCACGCCCGATTTTGAGCCAGGAAAATTCACAACCATCTGGGTCCCCGTTGAAGAAGAAGGACCCTACGGACATTACTCCGAACAACCCCGTCACTACACGCTTGCAGTGCCTCGAAAAAAAGAGGATGCCAATACTGGCATGTCCATTTCGGTAAAGAAGGACGGATTGATCAGCCGTATTCTTCACGCCGCTGAAACCGGAACTGAGTGGGAGTTGTCGGCTCCTCATGGTTGTTTCGTCATGTCGGGTGTCGAGAAATTGTGGCTCAGTTCTCAGGATGCTCCCGTTGTCTTTATCAGCGCTGGAGTCGGAATCACGCCAGGTACGAATGCATCCCAACAACATGGCTCTTTGTGTTTGACTGAAACTCGCTGTCCCTCTGGCGCTCACTCACGTACGAACAATGCACTCTTGCTGCGGTATCACTAACTTGATCTGACTTACCGGTTACTTAGTATTGGCCATGCTGGAGAATATTTATGTGACCCGTCCAGCTACGTGGTTGCACGCCTCCCAAGACGGTGCCGTCCATCCCTACCGAGAGCGCTTGCGTGAGATTGCGGCCGTTCGCGGAGGAGAATTGCAGCGTCGTGTCTGGTATTCGAATCCCTTGCCCGAGGATGGACATCCCGGTGGCAACGAAACCAGCCCTCACATGTTCAACGTTGCCAAGTATCACTACGAAGGCAGAATGGATTTGGCCATGAGTGAACTAGAGGAAATCACACATTTGGGCAATGAAGAAGCACACTACTACATGTGCGGTCCTGAAGGATTCATGGACGCTCAACGAGACACTCTGGTGAAACTTGGAGTTGCTGAAGATCGCATTCATTGGGAGGGATTCTAAAGCTTACACTTTGTTGTGACTTGTGACTCGGAAACAATTGGAACCAAACCAAGCCAAACCCAACAACCAAACCATCAGCATTCAGTAAAAAGACAAGGGAGCTGGACAAAGTCTGTGTGCTGTGCAATCAACGTCCTGCTCTCAATGCATGTTTTCAAAGATGACGACGAGTCATGATGGGAGATCATGAGCTTTCGATTTTGAAAGTAGTAATTATTTAAAGCTCGTTTCCTTGATCCTGTAGCCATGCTGGCACAGATACACGTGTGGAACTAGTGTCGTACTAGCGGCGGTGAAAGATGCAGAGCAGACTTCTTGGGCAAGCTGATGGTCAAAGGTTCCTGAAGAGGTTTCCGAGATATGGTAACATCCGGGCCCGCCAGAGATGCAAAGGGTGCAAAGGCAGATTCCGTTCTGGTGAGTTGGAGGAAATCAAAGGTTGCATTGGGTCGCAGGCTGCACCCATGGAGCAGAACAGACGAGCATGTCATCGGTGACATTCGTCATTGCTTCCAGAGCGGAATTGTGGGCAGTTTTCTAGCTTGTGTCCTTGTAACTTGTAACATGTCTTCTGTAGTACTGTACGGTACGTACCGGTAGCCAGCATACATGTAATAGATTGAATTCTGGGTGTCGATTGTTGCCCTCGCTTTGGCTCCGATCCAAGTGACCGTGACGTGACGACGTGACGACGCGACACGGCAGAATATCACCCTTGCTTACAATGGTCATGAACAGCCCGTGACTGAAACCGAGGGAGGAACATCTTCGACTTTCATGGAAGGCTCCGACAAACCCACGCACACTAAGCAGCTCAAAAGCACAGAGCACAAAGATCAGCACCAGACGGTTCCGTGTTGAGGTCCACGATGCCATAACACCGACCACCTGATTCCTGAACTTGTTTCAATTGCCTAATAAGATGAGTGACAGTCATCGAACGTATCGTTCCTTGGTACGGCACAATCGGGCCATGGAGACGGGAGAACCTTCCATCATTCATTCCCCCGAATTTCACGACAACAATCTGCTGCGTCAAGCATGGGCCATCAGTCCCTACAATAGGAAGCGCCACAAGAAATCGCCTCCAAATGCTAACATTCGAAAAGAGATTATTCGCAATGCCATGTGCTTCCAACCAGTGTCAGGGTACTGCGGAATGGCCACAGTCAATACCGTACTGACGTCATTGAATCCACCCTATTTTGTGCAGTATCCCGATCATGGAAGAGGATATTCCATGTATTCTTTAGCCGAGTATCTCATTGTGAACTGCGTCCCCCATCAGTTTACGGATGTGGACGCCATCTTTATGGAACGCAAAACTACCTTGGATCAATTCCGTGCCATGCTCCAACAATATGTCAATTCTCCCGATTATCGACTGTTGGCCAATTTTCATCGAACGCCCCTGTTCTATTCCGAACGGAGTACCGAAGAGGAAGCACGGTATCGTGCATGGGCGGGTCATTGGAGTCCAGTGGGAGGGTTGATACAGACCCGCGATGACAAGGAATATGTGCTCGTCCTGGATACCAATGAGAAGTATGGTCCCTTTATGGTGTCTCTGGAACGATTCTTTCTGGCAGTCAAGACCGAAACACTGGAGGATGGATATAGAGGATTTCTCAAGGTGAAAATCAATCCTGCTGGCCACCAACAACGATTGCAGGCACCTGCGCCAGCACCGTTTCCCATGACAAACTCTGCGGACTGTTAGAGTGGACCATCCCATTGTCAGGTAATTCCTTAGAAAGAGAGTGCATCAAATTGAAAGTGCATAGCAACGACAGGGTCTCAACTGCACTGTCTAAGATGCAGCTCACACAGCCTGCACTGTTGTGCTTCCTGTCATGGATACATCCTGGATCGAGTCATGAATGGATGGTCCCAACTCTCTGCAATCAACGAGGACGGAATGGGACATGGCTATGAGAATACGCTAAACGACCGAGATGTTGCTGAGGTTGATGGGGTAACGGTACTGGTGGGGAAGAGGTAGAGAGCAGAGGAAGCCAAGAGGCTCTCGAGCCAGGTCTATTCAACTTGCTACAGTACCGGTACCGTACGTGCATTTTTCTCATTAAAAAAGTATCATCTCATGGGAGCATGACAATCATGGTGGTGCGTGTCATCTCTTTGGTTGAATCTGGCATTCGTCACATGCCTGCACCGCCCCTGCAGTGGACTGGTAGGACTCGCATACTGCTAAAACAGATGTCAAAGGAGACAAACACTCAATCCCGACCAATGTGAGCTCAGCGCTTGAGCTCAAGTCTAGACTAACTAATTAATTAAGTGATCGTCTTCCTCGTCATTGAACTAGCTAGCCATCCATGGTCAGAGAAACCCCAAAGTGATGAGTGATACAGTCTAAAAAGTATTTTGTAGTGAGTGCAGGGTGGACTCAAAAAGGGGGGTGCTGGGCAAAGGCGACAGATTTCCGACCACGGTTTGAGAGCCCAAGGGAATGCCAATACAGGATTTCGTCGAAGGACAGACAAAATGACCCAGGTTTTGACATTTTTGAGCCATTCTGACGAGAATGTCATCAAAGCGAGAAAAAGTCCGAATTGTGATGCTGCCACCAACAAAAATGAGACTTCCCTTCTCGGCACAAACCCAAGCAGCGACATCCCCGATAGAACACGGTACCCAGCAAACAACAGATAGAAGACACAGAGTGTGTGCTGACTGCTCCCAGTTCCTTCCACGGTACCAGAGCAGCATATTTCATAAGAGCAATATAGATAGACAGGAGGACAAGCTGTGCCTCCATCAATATTTACCACAGCCATTGCTACCATCATGGACAGTGACGAAGACGACGTCTCCTCTGGATCCTACATTTCCGAGTCCAGCAGTGAATTCCAAAAGCCCAAAGCATCGTCAGCCAAGCAGCAATCTTATCTAGACGAATCGGATTCTGATGCCATTTCCGACTCGGATGAAGAGTCGTCTAGGCCTCCTCCCAAGAAGAAAGCCCAGGATGAGGATGAGTTGGACGATGATGACTATGATGACGACTATGATGATGGGATGGTTTCCGATTCAGACGAAGAGTCGGCACCCGCCAAGAAGCAGAGCTCTTATGACGATGACGACGTCGATGATGGTGATAATATTTCTGATTCTGACGACGAAGAGTCCTCTCGGGTACCACCCCAGAAACAGCATGCTTCAGGCGACATGGATGATGAGCCTGATGTGATTTCTGATTCAGAGGGAAACATATCGGATTCAGGAGACGAAGGAGGAGACGACAATAGAGCAGCTGATCTTGACAGCGGGTCCGAAGTGGACGATGGTAGTGACGTTGACATGGGAGGTGGAGATGAGGATGAGGACGCCATCTCAGATTCAGACGAGGGAGACCCAGTCGCAAACAATAAAGCATCGGCAGATGATGACGATGTAGACATGGGAGGTGGAGACGAGGATGAGGACGCAATCTCAGACTCGGACGAGGAAGATCCAGTCACAAACAACAAAACAACAGCGGATGATGATTTAGACATGGGAGGTGGAGATCAGGATGAGGACGCCATCTCAGACTCGGACGAGGAAGATCCAGTCGCCAACAACAAAACACCGGCGGATGATGACGATTTAGACATGGGAGGTGGAGACGAGGATGAGGACGCAATCTCAGACTCGGACGAGGAAGATCCAGTCACAAACGAAAAAGCACCGGCAGGTGATGACGATGTAGACATGGGTGGTGGAGACGAGCATGATGGAGACCAGGATGAGGAATCCAACTTAGACTCGGACGAAGACGACAAATCACTGGAACGGGGGCTGCAACGCCAGGAGAGCACTGCGTCAGTCTTGAAAGATAGCGATTCCTCCTATTCGGAGGAACTATCGGGTCATGACGACGAAGAAGAATTCAGGAACCCCGTTGATCGGGAAGCCGATGCCCCTGTTCCAGCGTACAAAGAGAAACCACCAACTCCTCCCAAGAAGGAAGCAGAGGAGCCAGCGACAACATCGCCCAAAAAGAAGTCAGTGCTGGACTCGACAGCGAATATGAGAGTGATGAAGCACCAGTGAGAAGAAAAAGACCAAGCTGCAGCTCCTGCACCAAAGTCACCACCCAAAAAGAAGTCAGCGCTGGACTCCGACAGCGAATATGAGAGTGATGATAGCACCAGTGAAAAAAAAAAAGCTGCCTCCTGCACCGCACCACCCAAAAAGAAGTCAGTGCTAGACTCCGACAGCGAGTATGAGAGTGATGACAGCACCAGCGAGAAGAAAAAGACCAAAGCTACGACTCCTGCACCAAAGTCACCACCTAAAAAGAAGTCAGTGCTGGATTCAGATTGTGAATATGAGAGTGATGACAGCACCAGTGAGAAGAAGACAAAAGCTGCAGCCCCTGCTCCAAAATCATCTCCAAAGAAGAAGTCAGTGCTAGAATCAGACAGCGAATATGACAGTGATGACAGCACCAGTAAAAAGAAGGCAAAAGCTGCACCCCCCGGGCCGTCAAAAAAGAAGTCAGTGCTGGATTCAGATAGTGAATATGAGAGCGATGATAGCACCAGCGAAAAGAAAAAGGCAAAAGCCACAGCTCCTGCTCAAAAATCACCGCCAAAGAAGAAATCAGTCCTGGAATCCAGTGATGAGGAGAGTGATGAGAGCACCAGTGAGAAGAAAAAGGCAAAAGCCGCAGCTCCTGCTCAAAAATCACCGCCAAAGAAGAAATCAGCCCTGGAATCCAGTGATGAGGAGAGTGATGATAGCACCAGTGAGAAGAAAAAGGCAAAAGCCACAGCTCCTGCTCAAAAATCACCGCCAAAGAAGAAATCAGCCCTGGAATCCAGTGATGAGGAGAGTGATGAAAGCACCAGTGAGAAGAAGACAAAGGCAACAACACCTGCACCGAAACAGAAACCGAAGTCTTCACTTGACGACTCTGACAGCGACGAAGAGAGTTCAAGTACAGGTGGCAAAGCCATTGCAACAACCAGGGAGAAACCAAGCCCGATCGGTGACGATACCAACGAATCACGGGGAGAAGCGCAACTGTGTTCCGCCTGTGGAGCGAAAGCTGCATACTTCACTGGTGGAATGTCCACTTGCTCTGCATGCCACAACGTCTCGTTTCGCGCATCCTGGACTGGCGACAAAGGAAAAATTGACAAGGAAACCCTGGAGGACACGGCAGAAGAATGTCATGCTTGTGGGATGGAATCTGATTATGTTTCTGAGGGAATGATATACTGTTCCGCTTGTCATGAAATTCCGTACTGTTCGATTGAATGTAAACAGTGGCACTGGAATGAGGGTCACAAGAAAGAGTGCACGGGGATCGCAGACGATGAACGCAGGGTTTCGGTCGCTTCATCTTCACTCGGTATCATCAAAGAGGAAGATGAGGGCTCTGAGCAGTCAATTGATGCATTTGATCCTGGAGCGGAAAATGCGTCAAACGAACCTCAATCGGCACAGGGAGTGATGGCTGCTTTGGCCAAAGCTCGCGCTGAAGCCACTGCCAAAACAGAACAACAGAGCAGCCCCGCTGCAACGGCGAAATCTTGTCAGTCGTGTGGAACTCAGGAGGAATTTGCCCCAGATGGCATGAAAACATGTGTTAGATGCTTTGAAGTTACATATTGCTCTGTTGACTGTATGGAATGGCACTGGGTCCAAGGTGGGCATAAGATGGTTTGCAAGGGTGCCACAGAGGCTGAACGAAAAGGTGCTCCTTTGACAACCAGCAGCAATGATTCTGATGGCTCAATTGATGCCTTCGGAGGGCCCGAAGAAGTTGGCGCACCTGAGTCTAAGGAGGGACTTCTTGCTGCCCTTGCAAAAGCTCGTGCAGAGGCACAAAGCAAGGCACAAGCTGCCTCCATTCCAAAGGACAAGTGCAAGGCATGTGGTGTGGAGAAGGAATTTGTGCC